ATTTTGGAACAAAACATTCACATTATTAATCACGAAATAGTGTTGAGTTTATGGTGTGGCGTGTTTCAGATACATTGCACTTACAGGGCATTGTCTTTTTATTATTTGTCTTATTAATATCATACCATAATTGGTGTAATAATGATTTTAAATTTTGGAAAATTATTTTCATGCCAAGGTTATTCAACTTACCCAATGGTTTAGAGAACATCGTGTAATCATAACTTAGCTCAAGATTGGAATCTAATATAAATGCAAATTTATGAATTTGTACTTCTTTGTAGAGCAATGCATTAAATGTTTCGATCCTTTTATTATAAATTTGGTAGTATTTTCCTAATTTAAAGAGAGGTAAGCATAATATAACATTCGTATTTTTATTTTCAACAATGACTCTCTTAATTCTTGAACACATTTTTTATAATTTTCGCTTCGTTTAAAATCTTCTTCACCTATTAATAGTATACAGAAGTCATTTTTTGAAAGATTTTTTGCTTCACTACATAGATTGTCGAGAAGATTCATCATACCGACGTTAGATCTCAGGAAATGGCATATCTCATAGTTTTCATCAGCAAAAGTTGCTAATGCTATGTTAATGACTTTATTTACTTTTTCGCTAGAAAATATGCGTATTTTGCTGGTTTTATAATTTGTGTGCTCTTCATACTGATTGTTTATCGTTAGATCCGTAAGTCTATTGTTCAGTAAACAAATCTCTTCTCTTGCTTTTAGTAGTTGGTTTTGTAGTTCAATGCTCATGGTTTCAAGTTCTTTTATTTTAACAATATTTTCTTGATTACTTATCGTTGTCTTCGCCGGCGTTATATTTTTTTCGATAAAATTTAACTGTTTTCCTTTCATGCGCTTAGGGGCCTTATTTTCAGTATTTAATAGTGTGTTGGGTGAACTGCAAATTGTCTCTAGCTGCTTAATTTTTAATTCATAGTTTAAAACTTTTTTCTCCAACATACTATTTTCGGCAAGTAATTTTTCTATTTCAGCATCAGCAGATCCTAATTTTTTTCTAATTCTTTGTTTTTCTCTTTCAGTCATCATCATCATCATCATTACAGCCCTTCACAAGTCCACTGCTGAACATAGGCCTCCCCCAAGTAATGCCACAAAGCACGGTCCTGAGCCACCTGCATCCATCGACTTCCTGCATGTCTTACCAGGTCGTCACTCCATCTAGTGGGGGTCGCCCTACCCTGCGCCTACCGGTACGAGGCTGCCACTCGAGAACCTTTCTTCCCCATCGGTTATCGGTTCTTCGAGCTATATGGCCGGCCCATTGCCACTTCAGCTTACTAATCCGTTGGGCTATGTCGGTCACTCTGGTTTTACTGCGGATATCCTCATTTCTGAGTCTATCACGCAGAGAAACTCCGAGCATAGCCCTCTCCATAGCTCGCTGAGCGACCTTAAGCGTCCTCATACGGCCAGCTGTGAAGGACCACGTCTCAGATCCGTAAGTCATCACTGGCAACACGCACTGGTTGTACAATCTAGTTTTTAGAGATTGAGGTATACCTGACGAAAAGATATGCCGTAATTTCCCGAACGCTGCCCAGCCGAGTTGAATCCGTCGATTGACCTCTCGGTCGAAGTTGGACTTACCTAGTCGGACTATTTGTCCCAGGTAAACGTATTCGTCAACAACTTCGAGCATAGTGCTCCCAACAACTACCGGCATAGGTGTGACATGGACATTGAACATGATCTTTGTTTTGTCCATGTTCATCTTAAGACCTATCCGTTGGGAGGCACTATTGAGGTCATTGAGCATAGTGCTTAAGTCCTCCAGCGATTCTGCCATAAGGACTATATCGTCGGCAAATCGAAGGTGAGTGATGTACTCGCCATTGATGTCAATACCGTATCCTTTCCAGTCCAGTAGCTTGAAAACGTCTTCCAATGCAGCGGTGAAGAGTTTCGGGGATATAACGTCACCCTGTCTTACACCTCTCTGCAGTTGGATAGGTTTCGAGCTCTGGTTCTGTACTCGGATAGCCATCGTAGCCCTACTGTACAAACACTTCAGCACTTCGATATACCGACAGTCAACTTGGCACCGCTGAAGGGACTGTAGCACCGCCCAAATTTCGACGGAATCAAAGGCTTTCTCATAGTCCACATACGCCAGGCAAAGTGGCAGATTGTACTCTTCAGTCTTCTGTACAATCTGCCGCAGGGTATGTATGTGGTCTATGGTACTGAAGCCTTTTCGGAAACCGGCTTGTTCGGGAGGCTGGAAGTCGTCAAGTCTGCGTGCGAGACGATTCGTAATGACTCTCGAAAACAGCACGTAGACGCGGCTCAGAAGGGAAATCGGTCTGTAGTTCTTTAAGAGAGCGTTGTCGCCTTTCTTAAAGAACAAGACCACCGCACTTCTGCTCCACGCCTCTGGAGTAGTGCCACCATGGAGGACGGAATTGAAGAGCTTCTGAAGGACTTCAAGTACCGGTGTTCCACCCGCTTTCAGAAGCTCCGCTGTAATTCCATCCTCGCCAGGGGCCCTGCCGTTTTTAAGGTGCTGGAGAGCCATTCTAATCTCGCTTAGACTGACGTCCGGGATATCATCGGAATAGTGTCGGATAAGACTTGCTCTTGGATCGTTACTCACACTTGCGTGTGGCTCCAACGATGATGTGTACAGCTGCCCATAGAACCTCTCAATCTCACTCAAAATCTCAGGTGTCCCGGAAACGATGTTGCCACACTCAGTCTTCAGCCTTGACAGTTGGCTCTTTCTGGCAGACAGATCTCTGGCAAAGACTTTGGAGCCCTGGTTCCGCTCGATCGCTTCTTTAATACGAGAAGTATTAAAGTTGCGTAAGTCTCGCCGTATGCATTTGGAGATCTGTCTGTTCAGTTGCCTGTATGCTGTCAAATCTGTTGACGATTGCAGCCTCATCTCCCGTCTAACAGCCATGAGATTAAGAGTGTGATCGGAGAGTTTTTGTGTTCTTCTGCGGCGGGTCTTGCAGAACTTAGCTCCGACCGCATGGACAGTTTCCACGAGCTTGTCGTTCATATCGTCCACTGCATTGCAATCTTCTAGGCACTGGAAGCGGTTACGTAACTCGAGCTGAAAGGTTTCGGGATTCTGGATTAGAGCACGAGGGGGACGGAGCGTTGACTTCATTAGCCACTCAAGCGTCCAGCCCGCGCGATTGTTATACCCTTGTACGTCCGGATAAGCGCGGCCCTGATTCGGGTGCTACCGCGCTCGCATCTTGTAACAAAAAACCCTACATAGCTTCTTAACTATAATAGCTAGAGTAAAGAAAAAAACTACGAAAAATTGATAGAAGAATACAGATTAAACCTATGTATATTTTAAGATCTAAAAACTTAATTTAAGATATTAAAAACGAGTGTTAACATTGAATTCGGAGAAAAATAAACGTATAAATTTTATTAATTTACACCACAACGAAGAAATATTGTATTTTTTTACCAATAAAATAATGCAACAACAAACTAGACGTATTTTCCTTTCTTATAATGCATAGATGTTCATGTTTAATTAACGCTAAGTAGTTAAATAAATTGTAACAAAACACCTACTCCTCGTAATTTTACTGCGATGTCTTGAGCGCTTTCGACTCGCTTGCGAAGGCAAAATATAAGCAAGATGGCCGCCTATCTAAGGTCGACACTTTGTAATTTACGCAACTTAAAAAAAAGGTAGTTATGAGTTTTTTTAGTTGGGGTTTTAAATTAAACACAAATAATAAAATCAATGTACAGTATATTGACATAATAAATATATTTTTTTTCACAAACCTTTACTTACTATAATTATCATTGACTATTTCAAGTAAATTTATTGCTAATTAAATATTTTATTTAAAACTAGGAATTGATTACAAACTAAATATTTACAAAAAAAGGACTAAATTAAAACTAAAATAAATAAATAAAACAAAATAAATTATGTATGGTACTGCATAAAGCAACCATCAATGCATAGATTTATGTTGCATTCTAGGCACTTCCAAATAGTTCTGGCTGTGACTTTTCGCTGGGCGCACAACCAACAGCGACTTTGCTTAAAGCCAGTTTTAACTGGGAAATGTCGATGCTCGACTTTAGGTCTGCTGGTCGTGGTTGTCGTTGGCCTTTTCATCAGTCCGGTTCTCGAATTCATAAGTCGTGGTTCTGTCGTGAGGTCAATATGTCGGTGTAACTTTAGTAAGTCTTCCGCCAAAGTTGTCCTGAACTGTCTGTGTGATATATTTGGATTAGCCGTTTTAAATAAAACAAAACAATTAAAAATGGCACAGTTAAAAAGACGACGAAATACCTTTTTATACCAAATTTTATTTCGTACACGTTCCATGGGCTGAGCAGACAAGAACTGGTCTTTCCTGTCCACTCCTCCCATGGACTTATTGTAGTCCAGGACAACGCTTGGCTTGTATGTCAGTCGGTCATACTTTTGTCGCGTACCGATTTGGAGGGAATGGTATGTCGAGAGCATGCTAACTAGGTTAGCATCTCGCCATACGATTACCGACAAATCGGAACAGTAGCTTGCCAATACTTCACCTTGTCTTAGTTCTGTTTTTGTTATTGTCTTCAATGAATCGGGAACGAATTCCCGATTCAGTCGTAAGGTCCCAAAGCAGTCTGTCTGTTGTCGTTTCAGACACCGCGCTAATAATGGACAATTGTAAAAATTGTTCGAAGCTAACAAATGAACTTGTTCGACCATTCCAAATCTTTTTTTAAGGCCGTCCACTATCAAAGTTCGTGTTTTAGCACCAATATCGGTTGAATTTTCCATTGTATTATATGTTTCAGTCAGACAAGATACGATTGGTATAATTTTACTGGCTGTAACGTAGTTTTCTCCAGATATTTCCTTAGTTATTAATTCTAATGGTCTCAATATATTTATAAGATCTTTTATGAATTCTAACTGCTGTGCAGTAAGCATTGTTGGAGCTTTAGGATACTTGAGTAATATTGGCGCAATTATTTCGGATAACTCAACAAATCGTTATAATTGATAAAAAAATAGAATTCCATCTGGTACACACAGATTGAATAAGCCCCAAAGGCTTTGTTTGGTGATGCTGAGCTTTCTTTAAAGAGTCAGCAGCATTTGTATTTTGCTTAAAATATATAGTAATATCTTTAACAGCTGTTAATAAATTCTTGGCTTCGTCTAGTCCATCCTTATTGTCAAATGGTTGTGATGCTACTAGGTTTAATGTATGAGCAAAGCATGGCATGTTTTTATTTTTGCCATAAACATTTGTGATTGCTTTAACGATATTAGCGCCATTGTCCGTGATAAACGCTACCACTTTGTCACTTGTGATGTCCCATTTTTCTGTCATATTAATAATTACTTGTGCTAAGTAGTCAGCATTGTGCGGTTCTGTTAGAGCAGTTACACCGAAAATTATGCTCATTAATTTATTTTCATATATACAATGACCAGTTAAGCCTAAGTAGCTTTGACTATTATGCGTGTCGGTCCAAACATCTGCAGTCAAAGATAGTGCTTCTACTTCTTGTATTTTTAATTTCAGTTGTGCTGAAAGAACGTTATATTTATCGTCAATCATGTGGGTAATTGTTTTTCTGGCTGGAACTTTATATAGCGGTGCCACTACTTTCATCAAATATTGGAATCCTGTTTTTTCCACAGTATTTAGAGGCAAGCCATCCTTTGCTATCATGAAGACTATTGCATTGGCTAGTTCACCACTTTTAACACCATTATCTGAAAATTAAAAAAAAAGTTATAATTTTCGATCCTGTATATATATCTAAAGTGAGATGTATACATCTCACTTTCATGAAAATTTATTAAAAAAAATATTTCAGTTTCTTGTCTTACCTCGAAATGATTTTATATTTGTTAAGCAAGATGCCAATGTTGGCTGTTTTAAGACTGATACAGAGACAGAAGAAGAAGCCACGCTTTCAGTATCCGAATTATCAATATTTTGAGAATCTGGAACTGGCACGATGCCTAAATCCATGTCATCAAAAACCTAAAATAAGAAATATATTACTTTGATTTATTGAACATTAATTCTTATTTTGTTCAAACTCAGTGCATTGGAAAACAAAGGATGTGATATAAGAAATACAGGTTCCACTCCACTCACTTGTCCATCACCATTTCGTGCATTACCACAATTGCCACCACCACTTTCACTCTTCTTTTTGAGACTTACGGTCTGAATTGTTGGATGACGTCTTAATAAATGATTACGCAAGTTTGTTGTGTTTCCCTTAGTTTTTACTTCCTGGTGACAATATTTGCATTTGCCTCCTGAGTCTTTTTTTATGAAATGATTCCAAATATCACTTTTACCCGACATGCTGAAAAAATACATTTTTTCCTCATTAAATTTGATAAACAACGAAATTTTTAGTAATAAGTTACCTACTAGTTTTAAGTAATATTCAAAATCCTATTAGCATCAATTCCTAAACAATTTAAAAGAAGACTTTATATGAAAGGTTAGTAAAACATTTAAATAGTAAAACAATTAAATAGAAATAATAGTTTTTTTGTAAAAAAAAACTTTATAGAATTATCAGGTTATAATTCGATTTGATTTAAAAATCGATCTTTTTCGGAAAGAATTGCCCATCCATCCCTAGCCTGGCGTTCTTACCTACCAAATATGTATGTATTGTAGGTGACCGCAGACCGATTTTACTTGATAAAAATAAGATTAAAGTAATTTCGGTAGTTTATTTTTAAAAAGATAATCAGGGCTTTACTATTACTTTCTATGTAAACAAAATAAACAATTTGAGGTTATATAGATAAATGGACATAATAGTAGAAGTAAGTATGCACACTTCCTTAAGGAATTCCACATATGACTTACTTATTAGTTATTTCAATGCCCAATATTGATTATTCGTATCTAAACGTAAATGAATTACATACATGGTTAGATTTAATGATCACAACTAATAGATTAAACTGAAAATAATAGCACGAAAGTAAAAAACAAAATAAAGCGCTTTACTTACCTACTTAGTCTCAATTAGTTATTATTCCGCAACAAACACTACATAAAAATTAGTATTTATATTACTTTACGAGAATCACTCAATCAATCAACAATAAACAAATGAAATAAATACCAAAAATAAATTATGGCTGGCATGACACAACTCAGTCCAGTCACAGATACAAACAAAAACAAAAAAGTCAAAGACTACAAACGTAACTTTTTTATTCAAGAGATGCGAAGGAATCTAAACATACAGCCATCTCGCGAGTTTTTGAATAATTAATTCTTTAACTGGCAGCACTCTTATAATACGGATACATTCAATTAATTGTAAATAGTTTTATGGTTTATACCAAAAAAAAATCGAATGTCGATTTTCAAGGGTGAAATATCGATTCACCGAATCGATTCAGTACTACATATCGATTTAAAAAATTGATCTTGTTGTCCAAAAATCGATTCTTCGATTAATCGATTTCAGATGGCCATGCCTAGTCGGAAGTGACCTCCGTCCCTCATACAATTTTGTAATGTTTATAAAGAAAGATAGTCGAAAATGGCACTAAACTATATAAAACGTTAAAGTCTTCAAATATGTCATATTTTTGATACAAATGTTGTAAATTAATCTAAATTTTCTATAAACTAATATTACTTTTAATATACTTTATTACTTTTAATATACTTTATTCTATATTTTCATAATTGAAAATTAATCTTTTTACTAACATACTTCGTAAATGCAATTTTATTGTCATTTCGTTTCGGAGCAAAAAAAGAGTTGTCGATTGTATTGTTGTCACTTAGCTTAATAATCTTATTAGTTTGTGGTTGTCACTAAATTTAAATCTTTTTTTGTGTGATTTAAATAAAATAATATTGGAAATTCCTGTGGTGAGTGGAGCTATTCAAGTTATTTAATTGTTGCTCTTGATTTCTTTGATTTTAGTACCTAATAAGTTTGTTGATTATTAAAAATATATTCATACTTCTGTGAGCAAAGAAATTAAAAAAAAAACGATTGCAAATGTACATTAAAAGTTTTACCTATTTAGTCTAGTCTTCATTAAAACTAATTTTAGATATATTTTTCTGTGTTTCAGCAAAAAAAGATCACGTGTTTCCTACGAGCAGCGTGAAAAAATGTTTGAATTGCGGTGGCGCATCCCGACTTTGCCAGAAATCGGGTTGCAGGCGCAGATGCTGCCTGTAGGAAATTAAAACTGCAGACAGAACTAGCCACAATTTTGAACAGCTGTGCCACAGGAGCAACAAAAAGCTCCGAGAAATGGATAAAGGTATGTCTGTGTTTAGGTGCTACAAGTTCATACATATTGTAGTGCTAGTCTAGTGGATCGCTTAAATCCAACTTTGTTATGTATGCCTACAAATGTGCATTCTAACCTTTATTAATGCAAATATTTGATGATTTGATTGAGTGTTGGCAAGACTGGCGCAGCGTTGTTAAATCTAAAGCTGCCAAAATCCGCCGTGCTCAGCAGCAGACTGGTGGAGGGTCTGGACCTGCACCCTTATCTGCCATGGAGGAATCTCTAATGGCTTTTATTGGCCACGAAGCAGCAGAGGGCCTTGCCGTTGCTGATACCTTAGAGGTACTACAAATTCATATTTAATTTTTAGGATTCAATACTCTCCCTGCTTCCTTTCGATTTCTTAAAAAAATGGAGCTTTTTAGTGTAACTTGTATTTGTACCAAACAACAAATATTTATTACAAAGATTAATAAGTTGCTAAATGTATGTTCATAGTTATTCAAAATTTACTATTAAATATCTAGCAGTATGAGTCCACAATAGAATAAACTCATTCTAAAGAAAGGTGCATCTGCATATTCTTGTGTATATACAACTGATAGAGATCCCTAACCCCATTTATAGGTGAGAGAAGTAGGAAGGATATACAGTTTCATTTCGTTTTGTCTTTACAGATTCCTGAAGGTGATGTAGAAGTAGAAGCTGGTGGTGACGAAGATGTCCACAATCCGGTTGTGGATGATAGAAAAACAACGAAAAACGTAATTATATTGATTTCTTTTTATTTTTATTTATTATTTCATGTCTTAATATGTTGTATGTTGTTGTAGAAGATAGATTTGAAGAGTGTCTAGAAGTTCAGGCTGCAGTCATGAATACGCTCTCACAGTCTATGAATAATTTGGCTTGTGATGAATGAAATTTAATCTAAGGTAGGTCAATATAGTTAAATAATTTTGATTAGTATGAATTATTTAAGTTTAATTAAAAGAATAAAAGATAATAAACAGATAATTATTGATAAATTGTCATTAATAAAATAATCTTTCTATTAATTGTTGTCGCACATCAAGGCCCCGCACATATATTTTGTATCTCTCTATAATGATCTGCTGTACTCGCGTCTGGTGCTAAAGCCTCTTCATCAACTATGTCGGGAAAACTACGTTCTGCTGTTATGCACACATTGTGTGACAAAACTACACATGCATTTACAATGCAGCCTACTTTTGTTGGTTCATACTCCATTTTTCTTAGTAAGCATCGAAACCTTGACTTAAGAACACCGAAACACCTCTCAATACTGTTCCTTGACCTTATATGGGTGTTGGTATATCGACTTTGAGGTGTGTTTTCTTCAGCATTAAGGATCGGTGTGAGGAGCCATGGCTCCAAGGGATATCCGGAATCACCTGTAATTCAAATAAACAACTAGAACATTACAAATACTGTTTTAATTGAGATTGTTTGTTTCAGATTTATCGAAAATGTTGTTCATTGCAATATCTAGAAGCCAGCAAGCATTGCCTTCACAATTAAGGTTCATCATCACCTTACGTAGTGCAGTAAACCTCCATATAAAGGAATGCTTTCGTAGTGCACTAAACCTCCATATAAAAGAAAAGGTGTGTTGCACCAGGATATCGTGCACACACATTTAATATTTTTAAGGAACTGTCACAAACCTATGAAAAGCGAATTCAATTAGTACACAGTTTAGGTCACTTGCATAATTAATATACAGAAGTCATAATGATCTTATTTTCAAAATTCAAAATCAATGTCCTGAATTTTTGTAAGGTATTTGTACTTAAATATAAATGACACAGTTCGGAGGGATCAACAAAACAGAGTGTAGCCATTTGGTGAAATCTAATTTATTTACTATTTGTGCATTAAGGGTGTGTTCACCCTTTCTATTTACATAAAGTTCTTCATGTTGTGTTGGCTTCTTAAGTTTTATATGAGTGCCATCAATATAGCCCAATACTCCAGGAATACCGAATTTTTGGTAATTTCTGCAAATGAAAATAAGACTGATTGTGATACTAGAGCTTCTTAGACATTCGAAGGATAAAACTATGTGTGTCAAGGTAATTAGGTTTCTACTTAGAAGATAATTGTTATTTTTTTTAAATGATTATAGTTATAGTTTTTAAAATTTTAATAATTTGTTGTAATTTCTTATTTAAATGTTGACATGTTAAAATAATAAACCATTTATGTAATGTGAAAGTAAAGGGTGTCTCAGCGCTGATTTTAAACTTTAAATACCAATTTCTCGGCAACCGGCGGGGTTAGCGGGAGGGGGAGAGGTAGCGTTCGGTAGGTGATTAGTGCGGGCTTTTTAGTCGCTATGTCCCAGTGGTCTGGCGCGCACCGCGCGTACGCAGTAGAGGCGTATTTTTGCAACGAGTTTTCGCTGAGGGAAGCACAGCGCAAGTTTTGTAATCGCTATGAAATCCGCCGTTTAAGTGATGCCCCGAGTATTCAGTTAATTAAGTCGTGGGTAAAAAAGTTCAGAGCGACAGGATGTTTAATGAAACATTCAATTGGCCCTCGAATTAGACCTGTTCGATCGATTGAAAACATCGACCGCGTCGCCGCTGCGGTCGCGGAGCATCCACGACGATCAGTTAGAAAACATGCTGCCTCTTTGAATCTTCATCGTTCAAGTATTCAACGAATTTTGGCCTTAGACTTAAAATTACATCCCTATAAAATCCAAATAGTTCAAAAAATCAAACCAGAAGACTATAAGAAGCGAAAAATTTTCTGTCAGAAGATGTTAGGGATTTTTTCAGAGGAAAATGGGATGTCCAATGTTTATTTTAGCGATGAGTCACACTTTCACCTCGAAGGGTACGTCAATCGCCAAAATTGCCGTTACTGGTCACCCAGCAATCCAAAACAAAAACATCAGAAGGCATTACACAGCCCCAAAGTTACTGTATGGTGCGCAATATCGGCGAAGAAAATCATCGGGCCATTTTTCTTCGAGAATGATCGAGGTGCAACGGTTACAGTGACGAGCGAGCGGTATATCGACATGATTAATAACTTTTTTGGACCGCAGCTGCAAGAAGAGGATGTTGATGAGTCCGGTGTATGGTTTCAGCAAGATGGGGCCACAGCCCACACAGCTAGGGTCTCCGTGGACACACTAAAAGCGTTGTTTCCGGGAAAAATCATAAGCCGCTTTGGAGACATATTGTGGCCACCCAGATCTCCCGACTTAACCCCAGCTGACTTTTTTTATGGGGTTATCTTAAAGCAAGAGTTTTTGATACCCCTCTTATGAATTTAGAGCAGCTGAAGACTAAAATAACGACAGAAGTGAGGGCCATATCAATTGACGTTCTGCAGCGTGTTTCTGCAAATTCGTTAGTCCGCTTTGAAGAGTGCATTCGTCGTGATGGAAGACATCTTGACGATGTAATATTCCGTACATAAAATTCGCACTAATGTACTATAATTTACTACAATTAAAATATTATAAACACAATTGTTTTTTTTTAATATAAATATTCAAAGTTTAAAATCGGCGCTGAGACACCCTTTATTTATTATTTATGAAGTTTTCTGACAAACTACTTGTAAACATATTTATATCCCACTGCTACTTATGTGCACAAACTTCTCATAAGGGGTCTAGCCTTATATCTCACTCTTAGCTGCTTTGGGTATTTTAGGAAGACGGCACATACTGCTGCTGTCTGTAACCTGGTCAATCCCTTAGTTGCCTACTGAATGAAAACCACATGGATTACTTCGAGATGGTAGCAGGTTTGTTATGTTGTAGCCACGCTGCAGCTACATTATAGTTGTAGCATGAATGGGTCGGCTCGACCAGAGGAAGGATACTCATAGAATACCAGCATAATGCTGTTGTGTTTTGTATGGTGAGTGTAGAAAATTGGAGACCCTTTTTACTGGAATTAAGGCATTCCAACTTAGTCCTCAGGGGTGACAACACATTTACATTTTGATACCTAATTGATAATAAATGTGGATGTCTATGAGCCACGGAATCCACTTACCATTACATAGACTGTGCTCGTTTGTCACCCAATGCAATGAAAATAAAGGTACCTAATTTAAATTTGCATCGGGAAAGATCACCATAATTTTTGTATTTTAGTTTCTTATTGATACAGATATTATACATGATAATACCTACCTACAGATTCATATGAATAAGTATGCTATAGGTACCTATGTCATTCAAATCTTGAGATTTACCTTAAAATAGTTGCTTCCATTTGAGGACGATTTGGAAAATTAATCCATTTTTTTGATAATTTGAGGTTGATTTAGTGCGACTACTGCCTCTCTAATGGCTCTACTGGAAGTAGGCTGGCTAACTTTGAAGTCCACATCCTTTGTTAGACTTTTTTGATAGGAGCCTTGTGCGAAAAAATGTAACGCGCAGAGGAACTAAATACCAAAAGAGAATTAAAATAAGTAACAACTTAGGTACGGTACTGAGTTTACTGTCTAGATACCTATTTACCTTTAGTTCTACAGGAAGTGAGCTTGAATATTGATGTTGTTGCCAAACAGGCTTTAAATTGTTCACAATAGCCAAGGCCAAGTGCGGGGTGAGTCGGTAAGTCGAATGGAAGTTTGGGTCCTCATATGGATACGACAAATCGCGAAACCGTTTGTTTCAGATCATTGTTTGCATCCGTAGCTTCTCTTTTTCGTGGTTGCGGACTCTCCTATGAAGAATTAATGCTACTATGCCTGACATTGCTTATATCTGTAAAATTAGAGATAGAAAACTTATAAAAACACACCTTTCTTCCAAATATTCACAAAAATACAGTTTTGCAAATTAAGTGCAAATATTGAAGTAATTATATAGAAATATGTTTTATACATAATTGCAATTAATTTATGTTACGTGCCTTATACTTAGAAAAGCTTATTTATCTCTTATAATTATCAATATTTAAGTTTTCGCCAGCCTCAGGGGTCTCGTAAAGTTTCCGATGCGAACTGTCACAATTCCCGAAAACGAATGTCAAATTCATCCGAACGGCGAATGTGAATAGCGTTTCATTGATTCCGTTCGAAAAGTTATCGAATCCGAGTCGATTTCCCTTCCCGAGACGATTGTGAATAGCCCTACTGATCACCAGAATTCCACCTAATGCCCCACGCAGTATAACCGATTATGCAAATGACTTGCGAAACAAAAGGAATGACATTTATGAGCAGGTTAGACAATCGGGCTAGCAAATGTCTGAAAAGATGAAAACCCGGTATGACTGCAAAATGAACAACAAAGGATTCGACGAAGGTTCACTCGTGTGGTTGCACAGTCCAGTCAGCAGCAAAGGGAAATCTCCTAAATGTTAAATATTGTGTTGCGGGGATACGTGTGAAACGTTCTGTGGCTGGTGACACCTGCTGTATTTATAATAGCGGTCGCATCTTACATGCATAACATTCCTCCCTAATATTTAAGACTAATAAAATATTTTATAATTAATTTAGGGGCGCTGACGAGTCACCCTGCGATGTGCTGGAACCTCGCCTTGGTTACTCTCTTCGGCCTCATAAAACTCGTCATTGTCGTTGGAAGAAACAGGTCTTCGGACTCCTCTTGTTATCGTCACCTTTGACGGCGTCTGGTCATACTCGGAGTCAGTAGGAGTGTGTGTGAGTGGCGCAAATTGTTCATTGTCCCCATCTCTCTCCAAGACGTCGTGGAGCATTTTCTCAGATGGCACGTCTGGTGGCAAGTGTAGCGCTGACGTCTGTGCGTACGGCTCAGACACAGGTGATTGCGGAAGAGACCGTGGAGGTGGTGGCAAAGGTGTGGCATCATTTTTTTCTATTATGACTAGGTCTTTTATATCGCAAGGGTGATCCCAACGTTGCTTATTATAATTGTTATTGTAATTTGTTTTAAGATCCCTACTGAAATTAATGTTTGTTTTAATAATTTGATCTACATGTTTTCGAACTAGGTTTAAAGTTACATCATCTTGTACAATAAACAACATGTTAGCAATTTTTTTGACAATTGTTCCTTTAGCCCATGAAAACTTATTATTATTACAAAATATATAATATATATAATACACACTCTCCTGCTGAAAATGATTTTTTTATTTTGGCAAGTTCTGCAGACGAGGGGGTCGGCTGTATCGGATTAATTAGGTCTAACAGCGATCTTAATAGAAGAATAATTATTATATATATATATATATATATATATATATATATATATATATATATATATATTTTTTAATATATTTTTTTTGAAGAGCTAATGCTCAGCGGCGATGCTTTTGGTGGCGGCGCCGACGCCAGCGCTGCTCGCGACTTTTTTTACTTTCAGCCATATCAACCGCATTCACTAAGGTCAATGTCGTGATATCTTGTGCGTATACGTGTTCCTTTGCTACTCCCTTGCTCAGCATCCCTTTAGTAAAACGATCACGTAGCGCCTTCTCCACGTTCAAAAATTGGCAGTTAGCGGTAAGTCCACGTAACCTCGCGGCCCCCTGCGATGATCGAAAACAAACAAAATACCGAAATTTCCGATCGACATTTTTTTAATACGAGGGTAAGCTCGTCGCCACTGTAAAATATTGTGTTGCGGGGGAATACGAATGAAACGCTCTGTGGCTGGTGACACACTGCTGTATTTCTAATGGCGGTCGCATCATACATACGTAATACTAAGCTTCAAGCTAAGTGGGACGGACCGTACCGGATTGTTACAAGGATCAATGACGTAACCTACCGGATACAGAAAGGTGCAAGAGGTACTCCTAAGATCGTCCATGTGGATCGACTGGAGCCTTATTATAGGGCCGATAATACCCGGGACGAGCATATTTTATGGGCAGTGTTGCGCGCCATAACTAATGCCTGGTACATTGCAAGTACCCACTAACGCCCTCTAGTATCGAGTAGCAGAACTAGGAGAGCTTTCTAGAAAATTCCATACTAGAACTTTCTACAACTAGTCAGTCGGAAACGGTATGTGCTTGAACACTTTAGATGTTTCAGTAGAAAAGGCCCAATATAAAGTCGGTAAGGACAGCGACCGACTCAGTATTGAATTGGCGATTCAAGCGAATACTTCGAAGCGATACAACTGTGAATTGTGTTACAATTGTGTTTTATTATTAGTGTGTTTTAAATTGTAGTTTAAGTTTTTAAAAACTTAATGTACACCAAAGGAGTCGTAAATTTTATGCAAGGAAGCTTATCTGACAGCCGTCACTTGAATGGCAAAATAATAAAGATGGCTGACTATGAGCGCGTTCTCTGTTACAATCTCTGCGATCAGCCCGTTTTAGCGTGGTTTCATAGACAATGGGCACCTTTTTACTCGGTATGAAATGCAATGAGGGCGTTTTATATTTTCCATGTTCCCGACGGTTCTTTATGTTTGCTTAACATCAATGGCTTCCTGCTAACAGCAACTGTACAACAAAAAAAAAAATTGCGGGTGCCAACTCGCTTGCCAAGCGTGGCAACTACTATAGCTATATATCTCCCATGAAGAATTACACAAATATACGGCCCCCAGTTCCCCGGCGGCCCCGCTATTCCTGGCTACGGTGGCGACCATAGTAACGGCGGGGCAGGGGGTGCTAAGAATCTCTGGTGGAGGTTCGGTTGCCACCTATGACGACTCGACCTGGCAACATTTAACGCACGCATCCTAATGACTGACGAGAAGATCCTGGAGCTGGAAGAAGAGATAGACAAGTTGCGCTGGAATATTATAGGATTATCCGAGGTCCGAAGAGATAGGGAGGACACGGTGATTCTCGAATCCGGCAACTTGTTCTAACACCGGAAGGGCGACCATCTGTCCCAAGGAGGTGTTGGATTTATCGCCCACAAGTCTCTCGTTAACAACGTTTTAAAGATTGGGAGTGTATCGACGAGGGTTGCGTACCTTATACTCAGAATCACCAAACGGTATTCGCTGAAAGTCATACAGGTTTACGCGCCACCGTCGGAACACCCCGATGAGGAGGTGGAGGAAATTTATGAGGATATTTCTAGAGCCATGCATTCCTCCAAAAATCACTATACGGTGGGAGACTTCAACGCAAAACAGAGCACAAGAACGAACGGTGAGCTGAAGGTATAGCCAGCAGCTGTCCGACTTCATGAAGAAAGAGGGACTTTTTATGATGAATTCTTTCTTCCAGAAGCGGCCCCACAGAAAGTGGACCTGGTTGAGCCCCGACGGTTCGACAAAAAATGAGATTAACTTCATTATGATGACCAGAGGCCAACTGTTCAGTGATGTCTCAGTGATCGCAAGGGTGAAAACTGGCAGCGATCACCGAATGGTTAGAGGCACACTGAACCTAAACGTTAAGTTGGAGAGGTCTCGTCTAATGAAGTCAACGCTCCGTCCCCCTCGTGCTCTAATCCAGAATCTGAAACCTTTCAGGTCGAGTTAGGTAACCGCTTTCAGTGCCTAGAAGATTGCAATGCAGTGGACGATATGAATGACAAGCTCGTGGAAACTGTCCATGCGGTCGGAGCTAAGTTCTGCAAGACCCGCCGCAGAAGAACACAAATACTCTCCGATCACACTCTTAATCTCATGGGAGATGAGGCTGCAATCGTCTACAGATTTGACAGCATACAGGCAACTGAACAGACAGATCTCCAAATGCATGCGGCGAGACTTATGTATTAAAGAAGCGATCGAGCGAAACCAGGGCTCCAAAGTCTTTGCTAGAGATCTGTCTGCCAGAAAGAGCCAACTGTCAAAGCTGAAGACTGACTGTGGCAGCATCGTTTCCGGGACACCTGAGGTTTTGAGTGAGATTGAGAGGTTCTATAGGCAGCTGTACACATCATCGTTGGAGCCACACGCAAATGTGAGTAACGATCCAAGAGCAAGTCTTATCCGACACTATTCCGATGATATCCCGGACGTCAGTCTGAGCGAGATTAGAATGGCTCTCCACCACCTTAAAAACGGCAAGACCCCGGGCGAAGATGGAATTACAGCGGAGCTTCTGAAAGCGGGTGGAACACCGGTACTTGAAGTCCTTCAGAAGCTCTTCAATTCCGTCCTCCATGGTGGCACTACTCCGGAGGCGTGGAGCAGAAGTGCGGTGGTCTTGTTCTTCAAGAAAGGCGACAACGCTTTCTTGAAGAACTACAGACCGATTTCTGTTCTGAGCCGCGTCTACGTGCTGTTTTCGAGAGTCATTACGAATTGTCTCGCTCGCAGACTCGACGACTTCTAGCGTCCCTAACAAGCCGGTTTCCGAATAGGCTTCAGTACCATAGACCACATACATACACTGCGGCACATTGTACAGAAGACCGAAGAGTACAATCTGCCACTTTGCCTGGCGTATGTGGACTATGAGAAAGCCTTTGATTCCGTCGAAATTTGGGCGGTGTCACAGTCCCTTCAGCGGTGCCAAGTTGACTGTCCGTATATCGAAGTGCTGAAGTGTTTGTACAGTAGGGTTACGATGGCTATCCGAGTACAGAACCAGAGTTCGAAACCTATCCAACTGCAGAGAGGTCTCGCTACTGGACTCGAAAGGATACGGTATCAACATCAATGGCGAGTACATCACTTACCTTCGATTTGCCGACGATATAGTCCTTATGGCAGAATCGCTGGAGGACCTAAACACTATGCTCAATGACCTCAATGGTGTCTCCCAACGGAGAGGCCTTAAGATGAATATGGACAAAACAAAGATCATGTTTAATGTCCATGTCACTCACACCTATGCCGGTAGTTGTTGGGAGCACTATGCTCGAAGTTGTTGACGAGTACGTTTACCTGGGACAAAGATAGACAATCCGACTAGGTAAGTCCAACTTCGCGTTCGGGAAATTACGACACATCTTCTCGTCAGGAATACCTCAAACTCTGAAAACTAGATTGTACAACCAGTGCGTGTTGCCAGTAATGACTTACGGACTTGAGACGTGGTCCTTCACTGCTGGCCGTATGAGGACGCTCAAGGTAGCTCAGCTAGCTATGGAGAGGGCTATGCTCGGAGTTTCTGTGCGTGATAGACTCAGAAATTATCCGCAGTAAAACCTGAGTGACCGACATAGCCCAACGGATTAGTAAGCTGAAATGGCAACGGGCCGGCCATATAGCTCGAAGAACCGATAACCGATGGGGAAGAAAGGTTCTCGAGTGGCAGTCTCGTACCGGTAGGCGTAGAGTAGGGCGACCCCACACTAGATGGAGTGACGACCTGGTAAGACATATAGGAAGGCGATGGATGCAGGTGGCTCAGGACCGTGCTATGTGGCATTACTTGGGGGAGGCCTATGTTCAGCAGCGGACTTGTGAAGGGCTGTAATGATGAATGAGCAGTAGATCTTCTGCGAAAAAATATCAATAGGATCGATTGCGTGAGTTGGTGACTTTAAATATTCGTCTATGATATCATCCTGCAACATTTGGAAAAGAGACCTTTACTCTATCACTTAGAATATAATTTTTTATGGTTACTTCTGCGACATCACCTTCCAAAAGATCTTTCCAAGTCTGTAATATCTTTTCCAATTCGTCTACAGAACCAGAAGTAGAGGGGATGAGATTTGAAATGGATCCATTGTTCCTAAAAAAGAAACATAAGTACTTTACTATTGAAATCGCAATTATAACATTTATAAGCGCGCCTAAATCATAAAAAAACTGTAAATCTTTTAATAATACTAAAACATGTGCGTTAGAATGGCGGCAAGTGTGAAGCACCAATTCGAATGAAGAATAATCAAAAGGTACCAGTTGTGTACCTAACTTAAAATCTGTATAACTTTTGACCATAATTCTATGTCGAAAATAAAGTGCATTCACTATCCTGACCTCTCCAGTATGCGGTTATAATAAACTCGCGAGGGGAGTCCGTGGCAACGAATGTGTTACTGAAGAAAATTCTTCCATCGCATTTTACAAAAATATGCTTTGTTAATCATATATTTGTGTAATGTTGTCTATAATATTAGCCGATGCAGTGGAGTTAGAAATGAATTTTGAAATGGCCTTCGACATTATTACAGGTGCTGCAGTGGAGTTTGGACTGCGATTAATATCCAGTTCGTAATACTATTGTATCTTTCAGTATATTTGCAATGTCGACTCCTGGAAGCAGTGTTCATTTTGATTTGTCAACATCCTCATCTCATATTTTAGCACAGTAAAAAATATTTCTGACTGAGCCAAATGAAAATATTATTGATTCTAATTCTTTAGTGAGGGTGCAATGCCATTTTAAAAAGCATCAACTGGGTGCTGTGGGAGTTCTTCATTGGCTTGGTTTTTTTGTAGAACATAATTTGTGAGTTGGCTTCTTCATTTTCAGCTATTTGTGATTCAGAATCTTATTCTAGGCCCACAATTTGTATTGTTTGTTGTTTTTCGAAATATTTTTTCAAGAAATTTAATTGTACATAGTAGTTGTGTAATTTAAAATCGCTTTTCTTTAACGACATTCGATAGTTATCTCTTATGGTATTCTACCGAGCTTGGCATGTTGTGCCACCTACAATGGGAATATAATAAAGTTTAGTCATTCCATATTTTAAACTTAAAAAATTACAGATGTTCTTGTAGTAGTTTTAAATATATTAACCCTTTAAGGGGCAGAAGCTCCTGGCTGGGGGAATGAAAAAATAACACTTGTATGTGAAAAATGTATTTTTTTTTATTAATTTTAAGATATTTTTTTATTTAAAAAAAAAAAAAACGTGGTGTCGACATATTCGACACTACCCTTCAGGGTGTATGGAACTGAGCAAAGCACTGTATTTTGGATGTTTTGTTAAGGTTTTTGCTGCTGCATTCTCTGCACCTTCTGTATTTGGGTAGTTCCATTGGCATGTGAGACCCCACATCATTCAACCTCAGTTCATCAGGTATTCTGTGAATGGCCTTCTGTCTACTTGTTGGCCCTTTTGGTTTTTTAGTTACAAAGTTGGGTGGTTGTGCCACAGTCCTTTTCCTGGAGCTGAAGTTGTCTATCAGGTTACGTGCGAGCACGGTGCGGAAATGCAAGGAGGTCATAGGGTTGTGCACTCTGTCATTTTGGGTGTATATTATATAGGCATTTGTAATGGCAGAATCAACCAAAAAGTAAAATATTCGCATCCACCTTCTCTTACTACGTCTTGAGATGGAGTATGTACCTCTCTTCTGGTCAAATCTATCAACTCCTCCCATTCTTTTGGTATACTCCAGGATTCCTATGGGACAAGAAACGTCAGACTTCGAACCATCCTTCTGCGTTCTTCTACATGTTGTTTTCTGACGGGGATGATAAGCAGTACTCAATACATACACCAATTTAGTGTCTTTCCATACAAAAACTGCGACGTTCTGGTTGACTCGCCATTTGTACTCTCCTTTAGCCAGTACCAGAGGAGGCGGTTTAGGTTCATCTTTCTTTTTTTTTTGGTTTTTTATAAGTTTGCGCAAGTTTGTACGATCTGCGCGTACAGTTGCAGTTGCATAAATATTATCAAATAGGTACTGTAATAGCTCATGGGACGCAAAAAAATTATCAAAAGCGATGTGAGTATTCTCAACCTTTTCATCAATAAGATTTTTTGATAGATCTCTTACCACACTGGCTCCTAATCCAACCTCTGTAGTGGCGTCATCTTTTTTTCCAGTATAAATCTCGAACTGATACAAATATCCAGTCAGACTGTCACAGCGCGACCACACTTTGAAGCTCCGTTTTACTGGTTTTTTGGCATATACTGCTTCAGAGTGCTACGCCCTTTGAATTTAATCATGCACTCATCTATGCTTTGCGATGATGAGCACACTCCACCACTTTGGAAAGCACTATTCAAAATTTTGATCATAGGTCTTATTTTGTAAAGTTTATCATACCCTTCTTCACCTCTCTTGGGCATTTGACTGTTGTCGTTTAGGTGTAAATTTGCTAAAATCTTTTTAAATCTCTTCACTGTCATAACATTAGCAATCTCTGCAACACGGAACATAGGATCGGAAGACCAGTAGAGAGATATATTTGGAAGTACGTGAATGCACATAAGTATCAAAATACCAAAAAAAGCTTTTAGTTCCTGCAATGTTACAATATCCCAATCTTTCTGTCGGTTTTGGGCTGCGTATAAATTTGTCTGATCAACTATGTTCAATAGGACTTCATCATTGAAAAAAACATTGAAATATGTCCGAGGAGAACTTCGATTAGGAAAAAACTGTGATGGTCGCAGTAAAATTTCATCAAATTTCTCAGTAGGCGGAATGTGTGGAAACTGCACTTTTTTCCACTCTTCATCGCCATCATCTTCCGAGTTATCTTCTGAACTGTCTTCCGAGTTATCCGTGTCATCAGCTTGTGTAACCACAGGTGTAACAGGTCTTGTGATTGAAGACATTCTAGAATTAGAGGGAGTAGGTTGAGTACTACCTGTAATACTATCATGTGTGGCAGATATATCCATATTAGAAGATGACGAAAGAATCGAAACTGTTGATGTTGTTGGCTGTGATTCATTCAGACCAGATCCAACTAAAATATCCTCAGGTTCTGTACTGGTAAATGATGAGAAAACTGCTTCATTCTCGTCTTCATCACTCTCATTGCCGTTTTCGGAGTTTTCGCCGTCTGACAGAGCAAATAAGTCTGCGAGAGTATCTTCCAACTTCTCTAATGGGATCACCTATAATAAGGAAATATTAAATTATACTACCTAATATTTAATTGTAAGAATTCTATATAATTACAATATAAATCCTAGCCCAGCCCTGGGCGGGCAGTGTCGAATATATCGAAGTCATAATTTTTCGTTGAATATGTATGTAAAAACGTAATAATTTCTGAAATACTGAGTAAGCTGCAATATTTATAATATTTAGAACAAATCATAAAAGAAAACTTACCTTTTTACTCATTTTTCACGAAGTTGTTCTTGGATGAAATTTGCACTTCAGAAAACAGCCAAATAATGACATAAGATGTCATCAGTTGTCAATGTCAGCCATACTTTTTTTTCTTTTTGCGTTTTGTTTTTGCTATGACCCGCCCGAATCGAATACAGACTATCGCAGTACTAAACTCCTAGCAGTTTAAAAATAAATCAATAAAAAGTATGGTGTCGAATATATCGACAGAGCCCCATAAAGGGTTAAAAGAAAGCTTACAAATTGGGAATTTATTAATAAAAATTACATCATCATGATATTTTGTATCACATGCTTCAATAAATCGCTGAGTAGAGAGTTTATCTCTTCAGTTATTTTAGCCTTCTGGTTTTCGATATCGGCAAGCGGTTCAGTAAAAAATCTGTTATTAAAATATTAGATGGGGTTATTAAAAGACCGGGCGATCTGGGAGGCCAGGGTATGTCTCTAAATTGGATGATGAGTTTTCCACGAAAAGTGCTCTAACTGTATTCATTGAGGCTCTGGCGGTGTGCGCAGTTGCCCAATATTATTTAAACCATAAAAGTTTAAAGTTAAAATTAACAGTCTATATACGTCCAACTGCTGGGCACAGGCCTCCTTTCAGTTCTGAGAGGGTTTTAGGGCAAGGAATTGTCCGCCGCGCTACCCCAAAGCATGTTGGCGAACTTCACATGTCTTCGAAATATATATATTTTTTATTTCTCAATCATACAGGTTTACTCACGATATTTTCCTTCACCGTGCTCGGCGTGGTAAATCAGTGTAATCAGTCAATTTGACTTTAGTGGATGACGCTTACTCCGTCCCCGGGGACATTAATATGCTCATTGGGGCATCTATTTTCCCTGCCCTGTTGTTATATAACAAGGTTAAGAGTAACTTCTCGTGTTTCGCACCATACGCATAGGAAATCGTTTTTGGTTATGTTATTTTCTTACAGTAAGAAGAAGGAGGAAGAGAATATCACTTCCTGATTTATCCAATTCGTTTTTATCGATTTTAGCACAAATTCACAAACTTTCACAAAACAAGGTACAGATATTGATAATCTTAAAAGGACTGCTAGCAAAATAGAAAATAAAAACTTACAACAGCTACAAATAACGAATAATATGACAAACCAAGTAACAAACAAAAATAAATTGTAAATAGAAATAAAGAAACAGTTAAGAAGCAGAATCAGCAAAGAAATGAAAAACCAATTATAAATACGAGTAATAGGCCTCAAAAAGAAAATACTAAAGTGTGTATTATTAGCAGTGCCGAGCGGGATAAAGCGGCGAGTACAAAAAGGAACAACTTTGCGGAGACTATTATGTGTCACTATCGCATATCTGGAGGTAGTATACATTAAATGTTACATGGATTACATAACAAACTTAAAAACTATACTTTTAATGACTATTGTGTATTTTTCTTAGAGTAGGCTGATTTTTACGTATCCAAAATTTATAAAAGTTTAGTTATGCACATAAGACAAGTATATATCATATATGATGTATCATGTATATGATGTAGGTTGGACACATAAAATTAATTAAATTAGAGAATCGAAATGTTTAATGATATAATTTGCAATGATAATTTAAAATATGAATATTGTTATTTGCTTGACTCAAACAAAAACTTGTATTACTCATATGACATGTTTTTAAAATATAACAAAAAAATAAATATTCTTGGCATAAGTACTATTTTGAATGAAATTAATGATATGTTCATTAATGTCAAGTTCAAACTCTCGGTACCGGGACTAGTGGTGACGGGATTGGTGCATGCAATTGAGGGAGGGCGGGAGGTGCTCTTCAATCCTGGTAAAACACATCATTGTATTTAATTAAGCGGATGGTTACGCATTAACTATTAATATCTTTGTTAAAATAAATAATTGTTAGTTGCTCTGAAAAAAATTAACAATGGGTTTTTTATTAGAACTAATTCTGTCATCTAAAAACTATTTAACGCAGTGGACACCTTGTATGCCGGGCGACAATGCGCACCGAAGGCGCTGTTTGCCGCGGAAAATAGTACGCGCGTAGTAAGGCAGTCCGTGTTAATATTTCAAAAATATATTTTAAAGTAACAACGTAACTTACATAGTTTTTTTGTTATTATTCCATATAAATTGATACTTAAACTTTATTTCATTGTAGTTTACAACAAAAAATTATGAGTTATTTATTATTTATGAATGGTTTTTTTCGGCATGAAGAAAGTATCAAATAATAAACAGTTACAATAAAATTAAATCAATTTTATTTTTTCCTTTTCTAAAGCACATGAATTATAACACATAAAATATAGAATAAACATGGTTTTAAAAAATGTGGTTTGAAAGTAGTCATCACTATCAATTGAACGTAGATATTCGTTCCGGCGTAAGGATAAATAGCGCATATCTACGTTCCAGCCTATAACATACAGGTTGTTTCATTTTTCGTTCCATATCAACTGTTAATTTTGACTTGACCTGACAGACCGCACCTAACGTTGTTGTAGGCATAGGAAATAAAATTGTGTTACATTATGATATGTTTATTTTAACACGTGATATGAATCAAACAATTTTAGAATGAACATAGAGCGACGGGGACGGAATACTGGACTACTGGAGGATCGTATTTTAGGGTTTGACGCAGATTGTGCACTTCTCAAATTGAGTGTGAATTTTATCAAAATTTATCAAGATAAAAACAGACTGCAAACACTATGCTTTTTATTATTTTATAACGGTATTAGTAGTTTCTTTGTGACTGTTATAAAATTCACACACATTTTGAGAAGTTCACATTTTTCGAAATGCACAATCTGCGTCAAGTTGACAATTTGAGGAGGGCAATCTGCGTCAAACCCGTATTTTACACATCATCCAGCGTTTCATGTAGAAAGCATTTCTTGTGTATGATAATCACGCCAGCATTTACCGATACACAAAAACACTCGACATTTTGAGCACTTTACATTGCTCTCTGTCCGCTTTTTATTTGCGAGAGCCAGGCATCGCACACAGCGTCCCCTTTTATAGCGAACACGACCTTTCGATATGCGATCATCAATTTCTTCGTGTTCTGGAAAGTGTTCAATTCCATTTAACCTTTCCCCTCTTGAAAGTTGTATGGCAGGTCTGATGCGGGTTGTAAGAATATGTCGCCGCGACAACGCTTTAGCTAGGGCATAGCGATATTCTCGATGTGTCAGTTTGCGCGAGAGATCTTGGGAGTTTGCGCGATATATTATAAAAGTGTTCAGAATACTAATATTTAGTAGTCTTCTGAAAACCTTAACGTACCACTTTAGGCCCCTTTTCCGTTCCAATAAGTACATGGATAGTTTCTGGTCTTTCAAGTCGACCCCACCCATGTACTTATTGTAACTATGGACCACAAGCGGTTTATTGCACGCTACACCTGCTCGCTGCCCTGGTGCCGTATCAGCATTATGATAAGTAAATATCATAGTCACTAATTTGACGTCCTTTCACGACAAGACAGTAATTTTTGAGCAATGTCTAGCGACTATTTCATCCTTCTTTATTCGTCGTTCAACTAGAGATTTTATGTCAGGAGGAGTGTCTTTTCGCCGCCGATTTAGCGTACCAAGTAATTCAGTACCACATTGCTCTTTTAAAAATCGAGTAAGAGTCACACTATTATAGAAATTATCCATAACAAGACAGTGTCCTTTATGAAAATACTCATTAATTAGCTGTATAACGATCTTACTCGATGCTCCTGTAAATCCATGTATTGCTTGGTTTTCTGAGTTTGTACCTTTCTTTCCGGAATAAATGGCCATTGTCAATAAATATCCTGTTCTAGCTTCGCACAGCTCGTAGCTCTTGATGCCAAATCGTGCTGCTTTGGAACGGATACATTGTATCCAGCTTAACCTCCCTTTCCAAAGCAGCGGCGATTCATCAAAGCTTAAGTGCTGCTCAGGAACATACATCTCCTTAAATTTGCGGTTGCAATGGTCGAGAATAGGAGCTATTTTAGATGTTTTACGATCATTTCCATGTAAGGTTAAATCTAAATAATCGTTATCTACGAAATGCAAAAATCGTAGTATGAGAAGGAAACGATTTTTTGACATAATTTGGCGAAATTGGGGCATTTCTAACGTATACGTAGTCCAGTATTCGTCTATTCGTCCATCTGTCAATGCTGGCGGAAATTCTTCTTCTTCAATGTCATCGTCATTTGACTCCAAAATTTGACGAATAGTCTCTTCAGTGTATTCTTCAACGTCGCTTTCCTCGCTACCCGAATCAATGGCCAGTGCCTCAGTAAGACCCGTGGGTAAAATATCAGCGAAAGAGACGTCATTAGCCTAAAAATATAAGTACATTATAAATTATATAAATGTAGGTAAAGTACATATCTACCAGTACATATATGCGGTTAGTGAAACCCACAGGCGGCCTAGGTGGAGCAGATTCTAATAAGAAATTCACTTCATCAATACTTCGACTAGGCTCATGGAAGGCGGAATAGAAATTTTGCCTTGAACATCATACTGAAAAGAAAAAGAACTATTAAATTGTCAAGATTCTTGTTATTAATATACTAGGTATAGTACATGTATCGAAATTTAATAAGTACATACAACAGAGGACCTAGGTACATTCTCGGATAGCTCTTCATTAAATGCAGCACCATCTAGCAATTTAAATGGCAATAACCTTCCTGATTCTGTCCTTTTCAAAATAACTCTGTCATTTGATAGCACTTTTATTCTTCCACTGGGAGATTTTTCAACTATGAGTGCTGTATTAAGATTATCTTGATATGGTGGATTATTGTTAGAATTATTGTCTTTTGATTGCATCTACAACAAAACAAAAACTAGGTATCAATAATTACCTGCAGCATATGTTTTCGGTTTTGATATCAAAATACACTTCTTTACGTTAGAATTTGGTAAATACTAACATGAAAACTAGGCATGTAGGTGCGTAGACTACCCATACTCAAAACGATTGGAAAAATAATCACACAAGATATTGTTACATATTTATGTTATAAGTTGCAATCATCTTTTTCAATCATTTCTATAATTGTGCTTGATTTTGTTTTTTTTTATATAAAGATAATTAATATAAATTATGCACAAAAGTCGCACTCATCACTTGTGAAGTGATCGTAAACGGCGAAATTACAATATTTACACCAAAACCAACTGATGCTTATCAATCGTCGTATATTTTGAATACTGTTAGTATTCAGGGTAAAATGAGGTGGTGCATAAACGTTGGGCTTCATATTGCACACGAAACATTTACTTTGCTTGATATAATGAGTTATGCTCCATGGCCATTTGCATTTATATATGCATAACGCGTAGTCATCTTTATTCAGATGATGATCAACATCCATAGTAACTACCATGTTCCTACAACAAATCAACAAAGTCAATTATTTTGCAGATACGAATGTAAGTCAGTAGGTATATTGTGCTTTTTTTATAAATGCTTACCATAGTTAAATAACATTGTTGTTAACATAAATAAACAACATTTTTGAACACCATGTAGAAACGATTTTTGTAGGGGATTTGCTAGTCAGTAAATATAAAAACTAATTGCCGACACTGTAAATGTTTTGTGAATTATAATGAAATATTCCAATCACGAGTAAACTGTTGAACAATTTGATGTATATAACATAAATCATAAATTTATAGTGACAAATCGTCAGTTTAACTTTACTCAACCGTCGTAGTTTGTAGGTATCTATTTTCTTCTGTAAAATTTATCAAAATCTTTAGTATTTGATACATCTTTATACTTTGACTTCTATATAGTATATTAGGACTAACAAAAACAAAAATAAACACGTAAATACTTACTTTAACACGAAAAAACACTTCCGTAAATCACGACACTTTCACTCGTTATTTTGAACTAAAACGGAACTAACTTCACAGATAAAAAATTCTTTTCGATTGGTTCATTCGGTCGTAATCTCATTCATATGGGTTCTAAGTGATTCAAACTCTCGGTCACACGTACAAAATTCATTTTTCGATGTCACGTAATTACGCGTAGATATACGCTCCGGCAGACAAACACTGACTTATTTTGAGCGTTGATCTACGTTCCGGCACACGAGGGTTTAAACTATCTCAGTAGTGGGACATATAAAGGCTGGAACTTTACTTACTTAAAAGTATTGCGTAAACGCATTTTTAACGTATTTTAATCCTTAACCACTGGAGGTTAACACGCTTCCCCTATACAATGAAGCAGCACCGCAACTTGAACATTTTGATCATTTGTAAATATATTCTGGACTACGTTTTTTAACGTCTGGAAAAAATTGGATGTAACATGTGAACTGAGTAGATTCCATTAGCACTGATATTTTACAAAAAATCAAAAGAAAAGTTTTGAAATAAATAAATTTAAATCTATCGAAAATTCAAATCATATCCATCCTAGCCTGTGACCCTGTAAAGTGACAAGGTCAAAGATGCCAACTAAATTTATTATTTTGTTGCTTTTCATAAAGTAGGGTGGATATGATTTGAATTTCGATAGATTTTAATTAATTAATTTATTTAATTCAATTTTTTTGTTTTTATTTTTTGTAAAATATCAGTGCCATAGGGTCTACTCCGTTCACATGTTACACCCTATTTTTTCCAGACTATAAAAAATGTTATCCAGTATACCCGACGCTGTTCTGTAGACTTCAAATCCTTTCATTCTCTTTCTAAAACCGCTGAAATATTTATCGCCAAAGTCGCCAATGATCACCAATCAACGCTTCAAAAATCACTAGATAACTTTTTCAAGTTATTAAAACTCCATGGTTCTCGCATCTACTTATCACTTTTATGGCATTGTTTCCTTTACAAATCCTGTCTGCAGCGTCATGTTATGTTTGTTAATGAATAAAAAAATTATGTTAATGTGATGGGTCTTTATTAGGTATTTTCAACTACATCTACAACCTTCTTTCTACAATTTCATCAACTAGGTATATATACTACACCATCGAACTTACTATTTACGTGATAGCAGGTGGCTACTACAGTAAATATACTTCAGATCGGAACACACTAGTGAATCCACTGCTCATTAGCAGTAGTGAAAAGTACGAGGGCGATTCTTACACAAACGAACTCCTAGACAGAAAAGAAGTCCAACCATGAAAAACAATAGAACTGGAAACATCATCAGCCTACGGCAGTCTACTGCTGGATATAAGCCTTTTCCAAAGCGTGCAATTAAACCCGGTGTTCAACTAAAAGCATCCAATTCATACCAGCCACCTTGCGCAGGTCGTCGCTCCATCTAGTTAGGGGGCGTCCCAAACTACGGTCACCTAGACGCGGTCTCCACTCCATAATACGCTTACTTCATGGAACGTCATTTCTACGACAAATGTGACCAGCCCATTGCCACTACAGTTTACAAACATAGATTCTCCAATGCCTTTCTTCATTACAAATTTTATATACCAGAAAAATTCCAAGCATAGCACTTTCCATCGCTAAGTACCATCGAGCTTGTGGAGAAGCCGTATTGTCAATATCTACGTTACGGCACCATAGATGAGTACAGGAAAAATACACCAGTTGAAGACTTTTATCTTCATTTTGTGGTATAGGCGACGAGAAAACCTGACGGAGCGTTCAAAATCTTGCCTATCCTTACTCAATCCTCCTTTTGGACTCCTTGTGGAAGTTATTCTTACCTATTTGCAAAATCTGCCCGACGTAGGTATATCCCTACGAGGTTAGCAAAGATGATTTTCTACGATCGGTAATGATATAGAGAAATATAAAAATGAATGGCGATGACATATCTGGAGGTTAAGTCACGTGATTTAGTTTTAATGTCATTCATTTGTATAGTTTTCTATAGCGTTAACGATCGTAGAAAGTCATGGTTTGTACGTAGTATAGCCAAGGTTCAACTATGATATGGTTGCAGCACGAATAGGTTGGCTCGATCGGGGAAGGAACACACTCTAACAGTATACCAACGTAAAATAGCAGCAAAAAACCACAGCATTAAGCTGTGGTTTTTCGTATGTTGAGAGTGGGGAACCGGAGACCCTTTTTGCTGGAAACGAGGCATTCCATCATAGTCCTCAGGGGTAACCACGCATCTGCATTTTGATGTTTAATCGAGGATAAATGTGGATGCTTATGAGCCAGCATCCACTAACCAACAAATTGAATGTGTGCTCGTTTGTCATCCTTATTCTATAAAAAATCTTGGCTAAACCCACAAACAACTTTGGGAATCTCACGACGACGATATCATCAGCAAAGCGTAAGCAAAGTGTGAGATGTACTCACTGTACATGGAATAGGACTATTCTAGACAATTTTATATTTCATGGAAGCTTTTAATACTAAATTAATACAAATACTAAGAGCTTTTAATAATAATTATGTTAATAGCTAACTTTAACACTATATTTTATTAAAATTTTTACATTCTTATGATTCTCTTAGCATTTCTTTTCATTAATTGATAAGCCACTTTTCGTTTTATCGTTATTTTTAAATAAAAGACATTTTAAATTTAATTGGTGTTTTATTAACAATTTATTACTTCCACAACAATAATAACTTTGGAATTTGAAAAACTATATTAAATGTACCATCAAATAACACAGACACAAGGAAAAAAATCAAGAGAGAGTAAACGCGAGTTATCTATATGGATCTTTAGTGGGTTCATTAGTTTCTAAGAAATATCTACTCACATTATAAATTTCCTAACTGTATTTGAATAAATAATTGTTTTGCGTCGCAGTGGCGATTTAATTTATGCTACCTATTTCACCGTTCCGTCCACACTTCACTGCCTATTATAAGCCTTTGTCATAGTTGGGAGGATTTACCTTAATTAACAGTTTGACAGGTGATAGCAGACGTTATACGCACCTTACTGCTTTCCGTCGTCGGCCTGGAGATTTTATAAATAAGAGATAGTTATATCGTCATCTATCAAAAGCCATGAAATTTTCTGGGATTTCCCCTAAGTCGCCTCCTACGACATTTCCAATAATATAAAATAATTTTTCTGGTTTCTAATGCAATTGATGTCGATAATATAAAATAATGAACTCAAAAAAACTAAACACAACGAAACTAACAACTATCCCAATTGGTTGGTTCGTAGTTAAAATATTCACCATAGTTGCCACGCTTGGTAGGCGGGCTGCCTACCGTAGTTTTATTATCATTAAGATGAAGATGAAGAAGATGCTGCTGCCCACGGTATGATGTGAGGTATATCATATTTTCACGCCGACATTAAAAACACATTATTTATTGTGGTTCAAGTTTTTAAGACTATAATGTGTGTATGACCTGCCATAGACATAGAGGACTTTTTTTCGAGAAGAAAATCAAGATGTATTATTTAAAAAATCCGAAAGGGACGTCATTTTATGATTGGATTTAAAGTAGTTAAAGTCAGTTATAATGGCAAATAATTTTGAACTGATTTTTTGCTTTGAAACAACAAAAACAATTTAGCAGTTGTTTGAATAAAATCGACTCACGTGTAGCCGTTATACATCCCAACCAAAGAGTACTAGTATTTCAATATCTACAAATATTTGTTTTGGGTTTGTTCAAATGTTTGTCTATGTGCACTCACCGTAGGTATGTAAATTTTATATAAAATTAATTATATTATTAATATCATCATGTTTACCGAAATTAAATCATTAATTTAAATTTGATTTTAAATTTAAATTCTTTTAACACATTACATAAAATGTTAAAACGGTTCTATGTAAAGCAGGCAGCAAAACAGTAAATCACATCTGTATAAAAATTAAGTAAGCTTAGAGTTAGAAAAGTAACACACATGTTATAAAAGGGTGATATAAAATTAAACCGCGCTATGGTTTTGTATAAAACTTCTGGCAGCGACCGTGGCGTTCAAAAGACATGGCGACGAAAATGTTGCGGAAGATATCGCTTCTGCCCAACTGGAATAAGTGGCCACTATCGTCGCAGACATTCCTAATAACATTACAAGACATGCAAACATCACGTCATACCATTTCACATCATACTCATCAATAAATTGTCGATGTATTCTTTCATAGTTATTAAACGTTTGATATTGCATCGGAAATGTAATTTTAGGGATAAGCGGTATATTCGACAGATCTGCTCCATTTTGTAAACCACTTCCGCCGTTTTGAGAACCGTTATCTGCCATGTTTAATACTTTCGGCTTATAACTCTTTGAAAATTGTTTTACATTATTTGATTTGAGGTAACAAAGTTTTATAAAAAATAAAGGTGGGAATATGAACATTAAGGGGCCAGTTAGTGTGGAGCCTACGAGCCCCATTACTAAATCAAATCGTGGTACAGATTCTCCGAGGAAAACAGCAAGGGCGACGATACTGGACCGTAGTAAGCAGCGTTGCAAGCAGAAACCTGAAATAAGCAGAACAATAAAAATTGTAAAAAAGCCATGGTGTTGTAGCTCAGGTGAAAGTTTTCCATAAAAACGAGTAGTAGAAACAACCAACTCAATTCTCAATTTTATCGATTTGAAAATATACCAAAATTTGACCTGCCCAAAATCCAAAAAGTTTATTAAATGAAGTTTGTGTAAAAAGGGCTAATATTAAGGAATTTATGGATGATAATAACCCCTGGGAAGGGATCGCTACCAATCTATTTCTAATTTGTTTCGTGTTGTTAATTGTGTAACTTACATGATCGAAAATGTAAATTTAAATATTCCGCTAGATATCTTTCTGAGTCTTCCCAGGACAGAGGTTCTTTCAAACCGGTGGTACTTTATACTAAAGAGTAGCTTTCAATAAGTATTTTTCATAATGTATATTGAATTTAGAAAAAATGTTTCTGTTTCTGATCATTTGAGCTATTGTACATGTGCTCGATGGTAAAGGAAACTTGAATGTTTGCAAAATTGTATATTTCTAGAACATATAAGGTTCAGTAATGCGCACTAGAGTAGCTTTGGGGACAAATTTACCTTTCATAACCCCAGAATTGAGAGGAGATCTTTGCTTGGCTGTGGGAACTCATATGGGCTGTAACTTTATTGATAATAATATAATATAGAAATAAAATAGTAATAATGGAGATGGCAATATTAAATAGTAAATAATAAAGGAAGGTGAGAGCGAAGTAAGAATACCCACTACCCTATGCCATTCCATGGATATCGTAAGATACGAACAAAGCAAATATAAACAGGATAGGGGCCAGCATCTTCTTGAAAACAATCCGATAATGATAAAATACTATGGTTGCTAATCCGTCTGCCAAGCTAGCAATTGCAACAAGTATTCTCCCTATGAGTCAATCTATTGGTTAGGCCTACGTTCAGTAGTAGACTTTTAACGGGTAGTGAATGATTGAATTAAAATAAAGGACATAATTGTATGTGGCTAATCAGCCCATGAAGCTGGCAGAAAGCATTTGTTATTACTTACACCTTTTTATAGGAGAGGGGTCAAGCGGGCATGCGGCTCACCTGATGGTAAGTGATTTCCGCTGCCCATGAACAACTACAATACCAGGGGATTTGCAGATGCGTTGCCGGCGTTTTAAAAAAGAGTAGGCTCTTTTCTTAAAGATCCCTAAGTCGTATGAGTCCGAAAAAATCTCTTGTGGTAGTCGAATCCACAAGGAAGTTGTGTGAGGAAGAAAACTTATTTTAAATCGTAGTAGTGGACCTTCAGTCATCCAGATGGTATGGATGGTACCGCGAGTTATGTCGCGATGTGCGATGGTGAACAGTTCCTCAGAGTTCTCCCCGTGATAAATGCGATAAATACGCAAAGAAATGCAACATATCGTGGCAGTTCCAATGAGACAAGACGATCGTAAAGAGCTCGGTAGCCGACGATTCGAATGGCTCTGTGTTGGATGCGATTATATGGATGGAGCTGGCACTGGGGAGCCCCAGCCCAAAGATGGGAACAGTATTCCATGTGAGGCCAAACCTATGCCCTGTAAAGCTACAAGTGGTGTGCTGGCATGAAATATTGTCCCGATCTTCTGAGCACAGCTTCTGAGAAAGCTTTTTAGAGGTCAATTTAGCTTTCTCTTCCAAGTGACCACTAAACTGCACGTCACTCGATATGTCGACGCCGAGGATTCCGATACTGGTTAAGGCAACAAGAGGAGTACGCTAAAACTGAGGAGATACGACGTTTTTTAGCGGTAAACGCGCAAACTTGTGTCTTTTGGGGATTGAACTGGACTAGATTTAGTCGCCCTCAGTCGGAGACTTTGTTCAGATATTGGGGAGTGTATGGATCATATAAGTTTGAAAAACTAAAACCATTACCGTTATGGGACCTATAAATGCACCCGTAAACGCGGTGATGGTCGTCGCTGTCTACGCGCAGCCATAGGATGGACGGGTCCGTACCTTCAAGACTATCGAGGCGTTGAATATAGATGTCCTCTCTGACATACGGAATCTCCCTAAAATCTAAACACTTAAGCACGGAACACCATATTTGAATCACTGTACCTACTCAAGCAAACTCTTAAACAGAAAATGAGCTTTAGTAACACTTAATACAGTCAAGAAAAATATACTTAAACGAGATTCTTACAGTATTTTGCTTGTTTTAAGACTTGTATTTGTCATATGGTGCCGGTGTTAGATAATCCATTACTCCATTTCGATTTAAGTCAACTGATAGTAAAAGTCATCTATGAAAATGCCAAAAAAATGTAGGGATTGGTGATAGGCTAGAGATGTCTATATACCATCTCGTTTACGCCAGACATAAATTACCCAAACTGACGGGCAACAGTGTTAAATATGTGAGACTTGTATTCTTGTGCTGCAATCGTCCATCGGCCAATTAAGCAAAACTATTAAGGCTTGTTATTAGGCCTTAGTATTACGGGAGGGGCCCATGTTTAGCAGTGGACTTTCACGATCAGATCAAGAAGAGTTTTTTTTAAATACATGATCATAGTGTTATAAAATATGTACTTCGAGGTATCTTGAGCAAGTCTTCTAAATGCTGAAACAACGCTGAATTCCCGATGGCGCTCGAAAGACAAAGCTGTAGAGTGACGAGTAACACCACTATATATAGCGGAATCGAAGGCGGCATGCCTGGAAATAATATGAATGATGAGATTCATGTCAATCGTGTTAATCATGTCATTCGTGTCAATATTTTTTGAAGCACCACAACATTGAACAAATTTTAAGGTTTTACGGAACGCAAAATTTCAAAAGTTTCGAGTTTGAATTCACCATTCGTCTGTGTTGCGCTACTATTTCTAACTGGCATATTAAGGCCGGTATTTAGAGACAATCTCGAGTGTAAACTTAAACTCTGCAATGTCAAAATTTAAATCTAGACTTTCCGACACACATACATATACACTCACTTCTGTCATCGGAAACGGGTAGGCAGTGACTTCGGACTTCCATTTGGCATAATCCTGACACACCACTCTCGCTTTCGCTACATCCCTATTCCTACGCATCGCATACATGCACGTCGATTAAGAATACTCTTAATCTGAATTTAGTTAAAAACGGAACGTAAGCATCTCACGCTGGCAACACTGAGTCAGTGCCACGCTAGACACCAAGCAAAAATCAAATCAAGACAGTGTACAGTAACCTCCAGCGACGCAGTATTGGCCAACGTTTACGCTAAGATTTTAGATTTAAGAATTGAAATAATACTCTCGTTTTGAATTCAAAGATGTGTCGAGTTATATTTAAAAAGTGTATTAAACAAAATAAAATGCCAGCATCGAGAACTACATGAAATTCTACTGACTAACAGGTACACCTTCCTATTTCCTACCCATAACGCCCTAAACGCAGCCATGTAATTGCATTGCTGAGTTTTATCTTTCAAGGCAATTAAATAGGTGTTTCTTTTCGATCCATTCAATTTTTGTTTGAAACTGATTGAACAATATCATTAACGGATAGCCCATTTTATTTCAAAAACAGCTTGAATGCTATAATTCTCTTTTCATCTCTCACAATGGCACACTTAAAATTATTCCTGTTTTGTTACCACATTTGTATCTGTATTTTAAATGCTTTGCTTCTCTTAGACTTTCATAGGCCTGTCTTATTTTTATTTTGCTATAATGATTAGAGCCTTCTCCGTATAATTTTTTATTTTTCTTTGCAAACCAGTTATTACTTTTATTTACTTGAGATCGTCTTTTTCTGCATTTACTCTTATTGGGCATTTAGTTATCGCTATAATTTCCTGAAATTAATAAGCATGGAGCTAATTTAAGACGGCCAATTTGCAACTGACTAAAAAAATTATATTAGAAGTGTTATCATTTTTTTCTGGAATCCGTGCATCTTGAACTAAAATATCAGCATTCATTCCTAATGAATTTCTATGGCAATCATGATTGCGTCCTCCCTAGGTGTATCAAACGGAGAAAAAAAAATCAGGAACATCAATTATTGTTATTTTTATTTATTCATTCATTTTAATTTTATTTCTTCTTTTCAATCTGTGCATTCTTTACTAAGGAGTAAACTTCAATATTATCTTTCAAAGATACAGTTAAACTAGATCCGTAGGAAGTTCATATATTGATAGCATTGTTTTATGTGTTAGTGTATCTACTATTGTTATCAACATCAAATTTATTGTGAATAAGGGATTTTCCCATATTAGACAATATTTTTTCCCGCTTTGTAAAAAAATCACTATGTTGTTCTGTACTATGAGCTAAACGGATAAGCTTCCTAGGATGTTGGTGGTCGGTCACCTTTGAGAATTAGATGGTATGCCATGTTACCAGTAAAAAGGGTCTCGGGCTCTCGTAACCATACAAAAATACTACACAACTAGTTCTGATAACAATCCATACTTTCGCTATGACTATGTTGGCGATGATTGAGATTTGAGGCAAGAATAACTATAAGAAACGTACTATACGTTTCTGGGGCAGGCGGAAAAAAGTACATTGACCTTTGACGACATCATCGGGGTAGACAATCAAAAAATTTTTTGTTTAGGTTCATTTTTTTATCCTTTTATCATTACATACATCAACAGAGTCAAAGATAAAGGTGCCGAGTGCGAATTCTTTACAGGCTCTACGTCTATTATTATATAATAAAAAAGAAGATTATGTACCTAAACGAATTAAAAAGCAAATTAATATTAATTTAAGTTTATTATTTATAAATCTTGAGTTATTACAATTTTCATCATTACGTTAATAGTAGGTAAGTACTTTAATAAGTAGTTAGGTAGGTAGTTGTATAAAACATAACCACTTCTTGGCAGTCAGGTAAAAAGACGAACTTTTAATGCTAAGCATTCTTAAGCAGCCAACCTTGAAGCATGAATAAAACTTCTCATAATAGATTGTCAGAGACACTTGACAGACTATTCATCTGTATCTATTTCAGAATCATTTTATGATGATGAAGACGTAGAAGAGTCCGTCACATTGATTATAACCTAAAATATCGGCAGTCTTCTTTTTCATATCCGTTTTGTATGGATATACGTTACGAGACCACGTTTCTTTAACATATTTATAGATGTTTACAATCATTATTTTTTCGGTTTCCGAAATATGCGACACTTTCCGCTTCTTTCGTGGTGACGTAAAGTCTTTATGAGATTTTCATGTCAATGGACTCAATTTCATACTAGTGATAATATACAAAACGTCACAAAACAGTAACAAAAACTTTAATACAAAACATAATAACACAACTAATAATACAAACTTATTAAAAATTAAAACAACTACTATAACCGAGAATTTTAAATCTCAAACTATCTACACGCAAGCGCATCCCAAAGCAGAATAAGGAATGAGTTCTGCTCCACCCGTTTTCTCAAATACGCACGGCATGAGACCAATCGCAAATCGGGTCGACACAGGTTTATTATCTCTGAATGACCGCTTCCTTCACCCTACCCCGTACCATGAGACACGCTTAGCGCATAACGATACGTAATCTATAAAGAAATGTATGGAAGCAATAACTGTAGTTTTGTTTCGATGCTAACATAATACTTGAGGTCAATGTACTTTTTTGCGCCTGCCCTAGAAACGTACTATACTAACTAAAATTGTACTGACTAAAATGATAGCTACTAACCTTGCAGTATATTATTTTCGACGCTGTTTCCGTACCGATTGGCGGCGAGCAGTGACGTGACCATAAACATGAGGCCAGTGATTATGAAGGCACCGAGAACGGCGACATTGATACGCCTACTGTCCTTCATGTCTACTTGCAGCGTTAGCAGCATCGGGTGTATGTCAAACTGAAAAGTTAAAATATATTTTACGTTAAGGGCACAGCTTCTTCTTTATCAGTTACTTACAGTTGGTATTGATCTCTATCTGTTCGAAAAGTTTCATCACAATTGGTTCCGCCATTCCAAAGATTAGCACAGACAGACAGACAGCCAAGCTTTTAAAAATGGTTGTTTATATATTAATAGCAATCAAATAACCCCTTGAGCTTAATATTATTTATTACAGACAGACATTTTATTTATATGTATATATAAAAAATAAAGCAATGTTACAGCCTCCATACGTCGCACGGCTGGTCGCAGGCCTCCTCCCATTTTTGAGAGCATTATTTTGGGCAAGGAAATATCCGCTGCGCTGCCTAAGTGCATGTCGGTAGACAAACGAAATATTTTTTTCATTTTCCTCACGAAGTTTTCCTTCAACACTGAACACGTGGTATATCAGCACTCAAAAGATATTCTATAAAAACTAAAATTTATTTTTATACTGCTACCTTTGGTTCGGACATCAACTGTCCTCGAAAGAACCAGCAAGAAACGGAAACAGAAATAGAATCCTTTTTATTCAATTTAGATTATAAACAATACTTATTAAAAGTCAATTTTTTCATTTACCACTGGTTCGCAAAAAAAAACCTCTGTCCTGGGAAGAACCAGCAAGAAACCCAGCGGGACTATTTTTTTTCAAATAATAGCTTACAATCATGTTTCCAATTAACAATACAAGACATTTTAGAAATAGCTTTGTAGCGATCACCCATCCCAGGGGTTATTATCATCCATAAATTCATTAATATTATAATAACCCTTTTTATACAAACATAGTTTAATAAAATTTTTGAACTTTGCGTATGACAAATTTTGTATATTTTATTTGGAATTTGTTTTAAAAGCGTATATACATCGCCCCAAGAGTGAATTACTGACTCGGTGGAGTCGAGTAACTGGTACTACTAGCTCAAACTCAGCGGGACTACTTTTACAAAATAAAATAATACAAGAAAGAAAACACAATCTATACAATTACGTACAATACTTATTTAAAAAAAAACAGCTAGAAAGCCATCACCCAATCCCAAGGGGTTATCAGCTACGAAGCTACCACGTTTTCATTTATATTATAATAACCTCTTTTATATAGTCATTCTATAATAAAAACTTAATGTAATAGAGACCACGTATATGTTATTGTATTTGAATTTTGTTAAAACAGCATTTTTCTTGTAATATCGTTGCCCAATCAATGAATTACTAGATTGTGTTAGTTCCTTGTGTAATTTATACAATATTTATCATTTGTTTTTATGAAAATTTATTTAAAAAATTAAGAGAAACAAAACATTTGTGAATAATACCTGGAAAGCAAGAATTCCGTAAGCTACAAGAAAATCTGAAGTTTTAGGTATATAATCCAGTACACCCCCTAAGCTGGTCGGCGACTCATCGTCCGTAACTATACAGGCCCAAGTGGTTGCTGCTACTGTAGATACGATGCACACCGATGTTAAGGATAAGGTCCTAAAAATCAAACAATTGACAAAAACTGTATTTTATCATATTCTGATGATGATTCTATTTTCCTAATTCGTAAGAAGAAAACTCGAAAATAACCAGAAGATGTTGTGACTTCTGGTAGATGACAGTATAACCTAATATTTAAACCAGACAATACATTCATAGACAGGCGGCAGGAACAAGCTGAAAAGATGGGAGGTGAATATCTGGTAGTGTGATCGTCAATCTCTCGTGAATCACCTGCAAAGCTTGACAATAACGGAAGATTTTCTCTACTATCTGAAGGGCCAGTGTTCAACGGTGGGCTTTTAATATGATGTACTTTGGGAGGGTATTTCTTTCTTAAAGAAGTAACTTGACCTATTCACAGAACCGCTGTGCGCATTCCCGCCGAGTTTCTCGCCGATGGTTCTTCCCAGAACAATGAATTTTTCCAAACCAATTGTAAAAGCTTAAAACTTTCAATACGTATTCTTGAATAACAATTATTCTGTTCTATTCCAACCTGAGAGTAAGCAGATGCTGTGACCTATAGTCTACATCAATGAAATTAATATTATTTATAGAATAATTAGAATCAAAATGTAGATGCTTTATCAATTCCGAGGGCTGAGATTGAATAATTTTTCACCTTTAAAAAGGGTCTCCGGGTTTCGAAAACTCAACCTACGAAACACAGCGGCATTATGCGGCTATTACATGCTTGTATTAGAAGTGTACTCCTTCTCAAATTCAGGGCAAACAAAAAAATTATTAGAACCCGCGTGAAAGAACATATAGCTGACGTTCCGGGAAGTCTGCAGTTTGTGATCATATCCTAGATGGCCCCAACCATTACATCAGATTTGATGGAACATAAATCCTCGCGAAAGAACATCGATTCCTACCAAGGATGATACGTGAGGCTATTGAATATAAAAAAAAAATCCTAATTTCAATAGAGAAGGAGGCTGGGTACTACCACCTGCTTGGGGCTTTGTAATAAAAAAAATTAAAACTAAATCCAAGCATACCACCGCCAGACTTCAAGACACAGTAAGAGTGTTCTGCTTAGATGGGACCATAAATAATAATTAAAAAGCTGAAGGTACTCCGGGTTAACATTGACATCGGGACGTCAGTCTTCTCAGTCCCCCGTGACCATGGGAAAGCACCCGAAATGTCGGGAATTAAAAATCATATAAATTAAACGCGATAAAACCCGTAAAAGTAGTTTTAATCAATGTGTAGTGTTCGCGTAAACATAGGAAATTTTGTCTTACTTCATATCCTTGGGCGATCCAAGCCACATAACGGGACACAGCAGCAGCCCGATAAGGATCATCCACACGCAGTAAGTTATTCCGATGCTCCCGCCCGTGATCTTCCACCAGAACAGCTGCAGGCTTTGCGACGCTGGCGGAATAAAAACACAACACGCATTTAAAATGTATCCATTTCTGTGATCATAAAAGATATAAAGATATGACGTTCTATTCTGTAAATCTGGTGGGAATTGTTTGCGTATGAGTATCACTTCTATTATCACTTCGCCGCTGTGTTATTTTTAACATTGTGATACCATTGTGTAAACTAAAATGATATATTTATAACTTCTTGATAACAACTCAAAGTAAAAAAAACCATGCTTGCCAGGTGTGCCAACTATTTTGAATGTAGGAAATCATTATACTCTTGTATCACTGAGTCAGTTTTATACCGTATTGTAATGATTTGTTTAAAAATGTGCATGTTATTTGATCCATCTGGTGGCTAGTCATGCATGTACCAAGTTTAGTGATCCGCTAGAAGATTCGTGCCACAATGTGTACAATCACGCGAGAAGCCTTTAAAATATTGCTGCTTTTAAAGATTTTCAATTTTAGAACAGTGGGATTCATTGACAGATTATTGGAAATTATTCTTAATCAATCAATAATATGCCACGCGTGTCTTACGTTCCGCACATACAATATTGAAGCGAAAAATGAGCTAACAATGGACTTGATAGTAATACTGCTGTTGCAATTCCCAGACATATAAAACCAAATTCGAATAACGAAATATTATTTGGATGGAAGAGGTAATGTTGGGTTCACTTTTATTTAATAAAATGACTAACGAGCCAGCAGTCCACCTCTTGGTAAGGCAAGTGACTAAAAATGCTACCATACCAATTGATCGATCGTCTATCGATGTCGATGATCGACGTTCAACAATGTCGATCGATTGGGTTCGTAGCTTTACCTGGTCGATGAATACTGGTCGATAAAACATTGTTCAATCATCGATCGACAATTAATCGATGTGGTTGTGGGCTCATCATCAGTATTTTTCAAAGTTTTATTCAGAATAGAGCACGTTATTGTTGGCCAGTACACTGTTGCCTGTATTATTATTATGAAGATGCAAACGCAGAAGACTCCGAATGCGACCGTTTTTTAATGCGACAGATAACTTATTACATCTAGACGACATTTGAAATAATTCTCTCTCTCTCTCTCTCTCTCTCTATGACCACCACACCGAAAAACATCAGTGGTTGCACCATTGCTTGGCAGCACAAATAAGTAAGTGTGATACCTAACTCATAGAGAAAAGGAGTCCCCAAATAGTTGCATTGTACGTGTTGTCATTTTGTACATAAACACTTGCATATTCGACGTGAACGTACACAAGTGGGTTCTTATACTTGATGCAGCTGAGAGCGTGCAACGCGTTAATTTTATATGATAGATATCTAGCTTTTACCTGTAACTTTGATCGAGTAGAAATTGAGTAAAAAACCTGCAGATCGAAGGACTAGCTATAGCTATAGGCTTCGGGAGTGTATTTTACACTTACGGTAGATTTTATATCGTAACACTAGAAACACTAGAAACGGTGTTTTAACCTTTGGTTCAATATAATTTTTGTTCTTTCGGTAGCAGTTAGTATCATGTTATTAATATTTTTGTGTTGGCATTGTAAATAAATGCTTAGAACTCCAAAAAGCAAAGGTTTGAGGTGCGTTGTAATTCCTGGAGAACTAGATGGAATGGAAATAGCTTACAGACCGTAAATATGTTATTTACAAACCGAATATAAAATTTGGTACAGCGGCTCCGAAGACTGTAGCGTCGATGAAGAATATGACCAACCTTCTCGCGTTGTTACCGAACGCAAGCTCAGCCACTGCTGCATATGGTGACCTGGTAATATAAGTTTATTTTAATCTTTATTCATTACAGCCCACTAAAAATCTGCTGCAGTTTCTCTACCAAAGATTGCGTCATAAGGCCATTGTTGCCCCACCTGGGTTGGTAATCGCAGTTTAACATTATTATAATTATTGTAGTATGAATATACCTCTAGTATTCCCATCTGGTTTAGCCGAATGAATATATAAACGTTACTGATAAATATATTTAAATATGCATTCAATATAATGAGAGCCAGTTTAAACGGCGTGATGAGTTGCGTTGCGGTGACGCAACGCAACGCGACGTATGAGATATATTGACGCATTGCCGGCGCAGCGTCATAGTAGCGTTGCGACGACGCAGTCGTAACGTACTGTCGTGGCAGGGGTGACGCACAGTTGCGGCGAGTGTTGTGTATTCTGTGAGAGCGTGGCCCTTCCCCGGTCGAGCCGAACCAGTCGTGCTACAACTATACTACCAATATAACTGCAGCATGGCTCTACCACATTTAAAACTAGACGGGCAGGCTGGCAACCGTAGTGTGTTATTTTTTTAGTTTTTATTAGGAAGACGCTGCTGTTCATCGCCTGATTTTATTTCCTTCTGTCGCCTCTTACGTTACCCACGAGATGCTATGAGGGCAGTGAATGTTCTTATATGCTGCCACCACACGGTGATAATTATAACAACCGCAGTATTTTTAAATATTTTGAGCTCTTAACTGGAAGATACTGCTGCCGCTGTGCTGCTGTGCGTCAGCAGTGAACTTTTACGGGATAATAAAGAAAGAAAGAAGAAAGATGTGCACGTGAGCGCAAGTCAAGAAAGCCACAAGCGTAAAATAGTAGCTTAATGCTACTGTGTTTCGTATGGTTAGTGTATAGAACCGGAGACCCTTTTTACTGGAAAAGAGGCATTCCATCTTAGTCCTCACGGGTGACAACGCATCTGCATTTTGATTCGTAATCGAGGATAGATGTGGATGTCTATGAGCCACAGCAATCACTTACCATCAGGTGGACTGTGTGCTCGTTTGTCACCCTATCCTATCGAAAAATGTGATAATTATGGGAAATATGACACCTTTTAATAATGTGCAATAAATGAATAAATGAAAAATATTCCGCGCTTAATAGTAATACAGAAAAGAGATTATCTATTATTAAGTACCTATTTTTTTCTCTTATATTTGGCGACAGTTCATAAGCTAGCAGCCAACTCTTGCCGAGTAGTACAGCTGTGTATAGTTGTAGAGAAAAAACAACTATCACCAACGGAATGCCGTACAAACCTGGACAGAAATTTTACCAGTTAATGGTTGTTCATACATCAATCAATCAATCGGTATATATTGTATACCATACCAATACACCCATATACCAATACACATTAATATAACACATAAACTAATACAATATACATATAAAGTAATATTGCGCTCTATCACTAGCCTGTATGTTAGACATTTAGATGAAATTTCCGTCATCAGTTGGTCGCCAGATCCTCGTTAGTCAATTAGGAAGGTACATGCGTGCTAAGTGCAGGTAAGATTGGTACGTACATAAGTAGTAGAGCCAGGCTTCAGCGTATTATAGTTGCAGGAATGGGTCGGCTCGACCGGAGAAGGATCACGCTTGTACATGACGCCAACGTGCGTACTCAGAAACAAGTGGTAAAATTAAAAATGTAAAACGTGTATGTAAAACCTACATCAATATAAATAAAGTAAGAACATCGTCCATGTAGTCGAAAATTAAATACGTCTTATTTAGGATAACTCTAAAACTACTGGTCACATCTTGATCAAATGTATATGGGACCACGTGAGAAGCACCAGCAACAAATAAAAAAAGAATCATCAAAATCGCTTTACCAAGAAAAAAGTTTTGAGGTAACAGACATAAAAATACAGTCTAATTGAGAACCTCTCTCTTTTTTAAAATCGGTTGAAAAACAGTGTTTCGTATTATGAGTGTTAAGACCCAAAGACCTTTTTACTAGCGACGGGATATTCCATATTAGTTCCCAGGGGTGAAAACGAATTTGCATTTTGATTTTAATCGAGGATAGATTAAAAAAAGTGTTTATGGACAATAGAATTCACTTAACATCAGATGGACTGTGTGTTCGCTTATCATCCTTACTTTTGTAAAAAAATAAAATTTGGAAAAAAGAATGTGAAAAGGTGACATAGTCCCTCAGACACGACATAAGTGTTTCAAAAGACATACAGCACTGATTCAAAACATTTCTAATGATATAAAACATGCAAAATCTGTCGTCGTCGCTTTTCGTTTAAATATCGTTAAAAAAAGGTTTTATACGAGTATACTTAAAAAGGACGTATAAAATCAACAAACGACAATATGTTACCAATAAAAGGAAAAACCCACTAGCCCATATCTTCCCGTGGGTGTCGTAAGAGGCGACAGAGGGAAACAAACCAGGAGATGGGCAGCAGCATCTTTCTAAAACGACTATAAGTCACCAAATAACCTACAAGGTAAACAAAAAAAAAAGTATCTCAAATTACAAACCGCAAGCGATGACGCATTTAGGCAAAGCCACGATTGGGAAAACTCCAAAGAGGTCCACTATACATAGCATTGTGAACAGTACGCTCAAGCCGCCGGTGGTCTCTCCTGAAGTCTCCTGACCATGGTGGATCACCGTGACAGGCTTCGAAGCCATACTAGGGGATTGCACGTTATCGAACATTCGAAGAATTTTAATGATAATGAGGATCTGAAAAAAGAAAACACTACACTTTTATACACATAACATTTTCTAGGTTTATTTCAAGTACAAAGACATCTTTGTAATTCTATCAGAAATTAACTTAAACCTACCTTCACTGACTATACTTATTTGTGACTAGATTCACACCTCATCACCATTTACCATCCTAAATTGTAATGAATCGAAATGTCTTAGCGTAACAAGTCTTTCCACTCCTATTCTATTTATCATGGCTTGAAGACACACAGATTTTAATCAGATAGAAAGATAGACGCCGGCAAAACAAACTAAACTAACTTTGTTAAAGCAAACCGTATGGTTAGGTCTTAAGACGGATTTTTTACCAATAACTGGATGCCAGAGCCTCGTCAGTCAGTGAACAGGGTGTCAGTTACAAACACTTATATTATTTTATTTACTATATCCCATCATTTACATAAACAATTCTTGTATATAATATGCATTTACGAGTATGTATTTGGTGTCTCGAAAACGGTCAGCGTCAAGCGTGCGAACGCGGATTTGGTTAATTTTTATTTATTTATATATTCTTTATTGCAACACACCTTCAACTAGATGTCATAAAGGAAGAATTTAATGCCTATATATATATATATACATACCCACTTATTTACATATATTTATTTTTATAATAATGTATTACTTTTCAATATTATCTAGGTATGTCATCAATGTAAATAAATAAAAGTAAATTCTGATTTTTGGCTAACGCCGAGCAAAGCTCGATTGCCCAAAAATAATATTTTAATCAACAAAGTAATATTACAGATAGCAACAATACAAATATTGGCATAGAGCGTTATAAGTTCAATCAAATACACTCCTTAATTTTAATATGAAATTACATTTTTACATAAATTTAAATACATTGTAATGATTATAAGAGTCATGGTCGGATAAATTATACCTTTCAGAAGATAAAATTCTTCTTCTGTCACGACTAAAATTAAAAATGTTATTTTTTATTTATTTTTTGTTATTGCGAAATGATTTTTTACCCATTTTTAGTCCATAAACAGTTTATTTCAACCTGTGGGATTTTTATAGAAGGAATAATTTGCCGTAATTACAAGGTTTTTATGCTTTAATTGTTATTCCGTTTCATATCTTTGACTCTACTCATTATTATTATTGTAGGTTTTAACCCTTCTTGCTTGCGAACGTATTTTATGAATGGTCCCCAATCGAGGTGAACTTCGGCTATGGTCAACTCTTTAAAGTTGTTTATGCATACTTGTTTACACAATTTCATAACGAAATTGTGAACAAAAAAACTTTATAGTGAAAACAAACAGCCGGGTTCAATACGACGAAAGATTAGGGACATTATATAATAGAATTCGTCGAAGACGCAAGACGGCTTTTGACCATATTGGCATATCATGCTCTTGAATTAAAAATGCAAATTAAGTCACGAGTCGAAACCTTAAACTAAACAGTGTAAAAACTAGTTATGTTAGATTATTGTGTAACTGATTACTAGAACTTGTACAACAGTAGGTCATTTACATTTACATAAATCTGCGGCATTTAAAATGGTGATTGTATTACTATTTAAATTGACGTGTCTGCTTTAATAACCATACCAGAAATTATTATAATTAAATTATTTTGTCGAGTGGTGACGGCATTTAAGATAACCATAACCTCAAATAGTACTTTGAAAGGAGTCAATAGAAAGTGACAAAATCATCTGAAGTTTTCCGATAGATGACAGTCTAACTATGAGTAGTTAACTTAGTATCTTTTGTAATTATGTTTGTGAAGTTTTTTTGTGTATTTAAATAACGCAATACTTCATTAAAAGTATTTAACATAACGTAATTAAGTACTCTTATGTTTATAGCTGTTGCTGTTCCAAATAAAGAATATTAAAAAAAACAATTAATTTTAATTTTTTATATACCTGATATACGAAACCTAAACAAAAGACGGCGGGCAGCGTCCAAGGTCTGGTACTGCTAACTAGGTTTGTCAGATCGAAAGACTAAAATATCCAGATAAATTTCGAAAAGTCGGGATTTTGGGGTTGTTGTCGGGAGAAATAAATATTAAAAAATAAAAGTTTATTTTTTAATTAAGAAACTACAAATAGAACTTTAAACAAAACTAATTTAAGTACACTTAATTTGTACGTTGCCACATGTATTTGGTATTAGACTTTTTACTAGAGCCCACCAATTTGGATCCTTTTGTAGTATTCAGAAAATATTTAAAATTAAAAAAATTCATTTCAAAGTACAGGTTCATGTAACTCAGCTTTTATTAAATCAAAGGCCATACGTTTACTTTCGGAGGAGCTGTTCGATTGGAGATTTTGTGTTTTGTCTGGAGTCTGGAAATCATTTAAAATGTCGGGAGAGTTAAGGTGAATCCCGACCATCTGGCAACCCTACTGCTAACACCAATCCACCGGACAGACGTGGAATTTGGACAAATTTTTCTACAATATTAGTAGTAACGCCAGTCCAGTAGTGCATTATTAAAGGCTAATGAAGGAAACAAAGAGTTTTTTTTGTGAATTTTTAACAGTTTTCCGGCAGTTTGTAGATGTGTGTTTACGTGGTTCGTATATTTTTTATTACCTTATAGTGTTTAAAGAATTTATTTATTTAACATTTATTAATAACTTGTATAATTAGGACTATTAAAATAGAACTGATGCCTTACGGTATTCTCCACCAGTCAGTCACAATTAAGGCGCTGTATCTATCTATTTTCTGGATGTTATCCCTGTTAGTCTATGCGACTCTTATAGCTTCATCTGACTCAGCACTGGATACCCTTTTTACTGGAAACAAGGCCATATTAGGCCTCTGGGGTGACAACGCATCTGCATTTTGATTCTTATTCGTAGTTAGATATAGATGTTTATGGACCACAGCATCCATTTGCCATTGGGTGGCTTGTGTGAGCGTATGTCACTCTTATTCTATAAAAAATCATAAGTTGAAAATATTTTAAGTGGTCCTCAGAGTAATTTTAGTGTAGAAGTTATATGATATGATTTGTTTTTTTTTAATTTATGAATGTTTAGGCTAACAACGTAAATTAGTATGGACTTATTACAACGTTCCCTTAGCTATGGCGCTACATTCTTTGCGAAATTTGACATTTGCTATCAAATCCTATACTTTGTATTTAAGATATTTGCCATGGTACTTCTTTATTGATGCGGAGTCTAGTTTAAAACTAAATGAAATGCTACTAACAACCCAGTCCCGCATATACGCGATAAATTCCGTAAAATTAGTATTATTTCAATCTAATTGGATACTTTGTAGCAATATCGTTGCAACCGAAGACCAGGCTATGATTGTTACCTACATTGCGATAGCATTAAAACATGTTATTAATAAATCATTATGAACTGTTACTTATTTCTGTAAGAGAATATTTTGACAAATGTTGTAAGATTTTTATTTATTTACAAACATACAACATACACAGTCATTATAGATTGACCACCCTAATTCGTCAGTGTAGCCAACTATACAATACGATAAATTAGTTCGTTCCGATATGGTGTTGATCACACGCAAAAACGGCGCTTGTTGCGACTGTGTCGGGCGCTTTCAGTGGCACTCGAAAATCTCCTACACTTTCAGGCTGTCTATCCTACCCCTCATCACCTTCAACACGTACATAGCGAGAGCGACTTCCTTTCTAATTTCGAGCATGTAGTATCCAACCATACCTAGCAAAAATAGAGTAGCATACAACAAGGTATAGGCCGGGTACACTCCAAATTGTTTCAAGTACATAATCTAAAAAAATTATTTCAGATACGCTCTAACATACATTTGTATATGTCTTCATGAGAAGCCAAAATGACGGCGTTACACTCTAAGTGGCTCCTTACGAGTGCATCATATAGCGCTCTCAAACGGTATGCCTTTATACAAACATTACTGACTTACATGTTACATGCAATCTAAAATTTAAGTCTACAGTGAAACGTACATCTAGATCTCTAAGCTTCTAGCTGGATATATATTAACACAACACAAAGTAGAAAGCGCAAATGGATGCATCATATCGTTCATATTACTTTTTGTAAAGTAGTAATAAATTGACAAAGGTATTTACGTACCGGAGACTATCAGTAAACAACGTTTTGTAATTAGGTCGGTAGGGTTATTAAAATATTTCTTAAAATACGATATTCTTTTATATGTATTAAATATATATAAAATAAGAAGATATATTTTGTGTTTCTAGGGGGCATCGGCCTACCAAACTTAGGTTTTGCTATGTGCATGTGAAGGGCTTAATGATGACAATATTGACTGACATAATGAGTGATTTCGATAAATTTATCAATAAAGCTGTCATTTTTACGTCATGTGTAAACCCTTTAAACTTTAAAACTGTTCAATGTTTTCAAAAAAAAAAATAGAAAAAGAAATAGAAATAGAAATGTACTTTGACGCGGTTTTCACCATAATTTAAAGAATTTCTTGAGAATGGTTCTCGTACATACATTCATGTATAATATATTATATTATACGTTAGAATGGTAGAGAAATGTGAGCGTGTTGTCGTCAAAATGTAAAGAAAAACCACACTGGTTAACCGCATCCATGCGCAGTTGGAACAAGTCGCTTGCTTTAACTTTAAGTCGTTTGTTGTCATTTTTTTTTAAAGAATGGGGTTGATAAACAAGCACACAGGCCACCTGATGGTAAGTGGATGTTGTGACCAACAGACATCTACAGTTCTTTTCGATTAATAATCAAAATGCAGATGTTTATCACCCTTTAGGACTAAGATGGAATGCCTCGTTTCCAGTTAAAAGGGTCTCCGCTTCTCTACACTCATCATAAGAAACACAGTAGCATCAAGGATTTTAATAATTAACTTGAAAATCATAAGTTAAGTAGATTGTATGTTCTAAGACGCGCTGGAACAAAATAGATTAGAATATTTTTTATAAAAATCTTATTGAAAGTAATTTATGATTTTATTAGTCGTTCGGAAAAGGAAGATGTCCTTGGCAGAACCAGTTTTAATCAGAAACGGTTTGATTATAAAAAATATTTTGACAACTTTATCAGAAGAAAATGAAGTGGTTTCGATTAAAACCCGAGTGACCGCCTCTTTAGTCTAGTGGTCGAAAGTGCGATTGCTGATTATGTGGTCCGGGTTTCAAATCTCGGGTCATCCCAAAAATTAATTATTGAATACTACTTTTAAGAAACGAAAACTCCATTAGCAAGGCTCTTCTTAAACCATAGTTTAAGCGAAAGACTATCAATAAACCAAGTTTTATAATAAGCCGGATTGAATATGTTAAAAACGTTATACAATACAACATCAAGAAAAGAGAAGGATAAAAAGTATTCGGGCAGTAGCACCTTCGTGATAATAACTCAAATTTTAAAAAAACTGCGCTTACCAACCCGTCTGGCAAGCAATAGCAAAATCAGGGGCGATACAATAAATAGTTGTGTTAAATTTTTTTAATTAAAAAAAAGAAACATTACTCCCACAGTAGGAATCTCTCATGTATCGTGGAAGCAGTTTACGTACAAAAATTGCACGTGAACAAATCCAGACCCGGAATAATAACCTGTAGGCCATGTTCCGTGTAGGATTCGAAGCAGCGGTCTTCAACGCCGTAATCAATTGGACAGTCACTGTGATTTGAAGCCGTCACTAAAAGTCAAGCCAAGTAAAACAAATGTGACCCATTACAACCTACATTGTTTTTACGAGGTTATCAAAGAGTATATTACAACCTTTGTCTTAAGCTACTGTTTTATGGAGCAGCACAAAAAGATCGGCTTTATCCGAGAAGCACTGTGCTCTTAAATGCTGCATGTACTGCATGTACTACATATTATGTATGTTATTGCCCTAAGGCATGTACGAAAAGAATGAGCCCAAAGAGTATATATTTTTTATAGGTTAAGGGTGAAAAACGAGCACACAGGCCACCTGATGGTAAGTGGATGCTGTGGCCCATAGACATCTACATTTAACTTCGATTAAGAAAAAAATGCGGATGCGTTGTCACCCTTTAGGACTAAAATGGAATGCCTTAATTCGAAACACAGCAGCATTAAGCTATATAACCACTACGTTTTAAATGATCCTATCAAACAGTAATTACGCACGAATTCTAAATACTTAGTGTAGGCTGTGCAAAAAAAATCAAATATTTATTAAGCTATTAATTAAATACCCATTATTTTACTATCACACAACACAATGCTGCTGTGTTTGGTGTGAGTGACAAGAATTGAACACCTTTTTATTGGTTACAAAGTATTCCATTACAATCCTCAGACGTGATAACGCATTTAGTATTTCTCTTCATTTAATAGTTGAGGATAAACATAGGTGTCTAAGGGTCACACCAATCACTTACAATCAGGTGGAATATGCATCCGTTAGTTACCCATACTTGTATAAAACATTTGATAAGTGGTAGAGCCATGCTGCAGTTATATTAGAAGTATAGTTGTAGCACGAATGGGTCAGCTCGACCGGGGAAGGACCACGCTCTCACAGAATACCAGCGTGAAATAGTAGCTTAATGCTGCTGTGTTTCGCATGGTGAGTGTAGAGAACTGGAGACCCTTTTTACTGGAAACGAGGCATTTCATCTTAGTCCTCACGGGTGACAACGCATCTGCATTTTGATTTGTAATCGAGGATAGATGTAGATGTCTACACGCAGCGACCACTTACCATCAGGTGGACTGTGTGCTCGTTTGTCACCTTATCCTATAAAAAATATTGTTAAATGACATGGAAAGAATGTGCTTAAAGCATTCACTACATTGAGGAATACAAGCGTCTTACATACATCTGAAAACATAATACTTCTTTTTGAAAATAATGAAATAAAATAGATAACCGTGTAGAGGCGGTGAAAGAATATACACTACCCTATGTCAGATATCATACAAACGGATGTGCAGCGGCAACCTCTTGATACAACTTAAAATAATAAATAACTGCGGTTGGCAATCTGTCAGCCGAGGACACCAACTATGTTAACTGGGAGGCCTATGTTCAGCAGTGGTATTTTATAAGCTATTGACTTAGGTATATCCAGATCAATAATACCCAATCTACCTGCCGGATGTGATGATTATGGCCAATTAAATTTAAATTTTCTATCCACGTTCTTACAGAGGAGTGCTACAGGCTTATGAAATAGAAAGGTCTTATTTGTATCTTAATTTAAGGCTTTTCAATCTCCTTGAGCATAGACGCCTCCAACAGATCACTTAGCATTAGTTCAACTTAGTAACCTGTGTAATTATTTGCAGATATTAATGCTAAGCCGTGGTAGCTCAGATGGTTAGTGCTCGCTGTAAATTTCACAGTACGCGAGCAAACCGGGTTCGATCCCCGCCGGCCAATGAAATTGTTAATGGCAATTTTAAGTGCTGATTTACCACGTGCTCGGCGGTGAAAGAAACATCAGGAAACCTGCATGTCGGAGATATAAGATCAAAAAAAAATATTTCGAAAACATGTGAAGTTCGCCAACACGCATTGGGGCAGCGCGGCGGACAATTCTTTGCCCCAAAACTCTCTTAGAAATGATCGGATCGGCCTGTGCCTAGGAAGGGGACGTATATATATAATATAGGCTGTAACTTTAACTTTAATAATGCTGCCCTCAATTCTTAGGCCTTTTATTGGGTTAAAATATATTCGTCATTTAACCGTTTAGTGTAGTAACGGATGAGATTCTATCGCCAAATCGTTTCTTGATTGGTGTAACAAGGGGTTTAGATCAATAAATAAGGCCGAGGATCGAGAGCAGCATCCTATTGTACATTGTTCAACTAATCATACTATGGTTACAACTACTACAGCCGTGTGCATGTGAAGTTTGAATTAAATTAATAATCAATATCAACTCTATTAACCACTATATGTTACGTAGAAGGGAAATATGCAATGAAAAGGAAATACGTACTTAAATTATTTTGCTTCGTTAACTAAGCGGTGGCGGTGTTCTTATATCCAATTAGTGCGTACGGGATATAGTCCTACATTTATAAGGAGTCCTTTGACTTAAAGCCGCATAATTACAAGAAAAGTATAAAGACTACTCTTTAGAATACGAATGCTGAATATGTGTTTTCCTTTAAAAGCCAAAAGTATCGTTAATAATTTACTTTATCTTTTTTATATGTAATTTTTCTGCACGTGTGTTTGACACTAAAATTCGCCTAAACGTATGGCCCGAATTTGATGCTTTTTTTGTGTTTGATTGGGTACCTCCTAAAAACCCTCTCACAAGTGAGAGGAGGCTTGGGCCCAGCTGTAGGACGTATATAGGTCTTTTAACTTTTGAAAAACCCTGGATGGTCTAGACCCGATAGGTGGCGCTGTGGTCGAGATCCAGAAATCACTAGTGCAGGCCCGGAAAGGATCGTTAGTACATAAAAAAGTAAATTCTTGGCAAAATGCTTTTTTGAAACTTACCTTATTTTGGTAACTTTTTTAATTTATTTGTATTTTAATATCCACTTTATAAACACATTATTTATTGTAATTTATTGCACATCACCTTTGAAACTTCACCATTACAGGAGATTTTCACAGATATTTTTAATTACTTCAAAATTTAGTGACACTGCGATGCACTTTACGTGGTAATTAAAATAACATATTGTGAAAAGTTTATAAAATTGTCAGCAAATATCTTTTCAATCGGAAATGTTATGCTATACGAGTTACATTTATCAATCAAAAAGTAAATCTGTTTAAAAAAATTAATAGCTAATTTATTGTGTTAAGTTACCAATAAAACTGGTTCTGCCGGCGACCGCACCACGACTAAATAAAACTCTGCAATACATGTTGTAAGTTGTAACGAACATTGGTCTCACATACGAGTACGTACATAATATTACAAGTATAGGGCAATATAATATACCGCAAACTTGAAGCGGGATCAAGTATTAATAAGTAAAAGATTTTTCTTTCTTTCATATATATATATATATATATATATATATATATATATATATATACTGTTATTACTGCTATTATTATATATAATATATAACTTTATTGGGAATTTCTCCTAAATCGTTTAAACACTAAATAAATATAATTATTTAAAAGAAAATGACGCCTATAATACGCATAATTTTCTTCTATATCATGTTGGCATCTTACTGTTATTGTGAGAGGATAAAATAGTATAAAAATGTAATAAAATATTATTATATAATAAAATAATAAATAGGATAAAATATATTATGTTAAATTTAATACTTATACCTATAAATAAACTAATATAAATAAATTAAAACCCTACCATACGGAAGCCCTTAGAAGGGGAGACTAAACGGCCGAGGGTGAGAGGGAAAGGGAGAGAAACCGTCGTGCATTGATTTATATATAATATTCAGGATTGTCAACTCTACGTCTTTTTACGTAGATCTACGTTTTTTTGGCCTTTACTGCAATCCTACAAACTTCAGTCCTAGAATCTACGTATTTATATCAAATTTTACAAACCAAATAACATGACTCATTAGGCCGAAAGGGCATTATTTCTAGTATTCGAGAAAAAAAAATGGGTGGTATCGAGAAGCACCGGCCTTTGTATTTGAGCTATTACTATTATGTATTGTGTATCGTTATGAATTATTATTGAGCTATCATCGGTATTTTCTGTCATTTTTATTAGATAGATACAAGTTTTAAATGTTAGTACTTACGCGGTTTCAATCCCCTATTTTTTCTATTCACATGTAAGGGTGAATTTATATATACGGGACAGCCCTTGAATTATAACTTATTAAATTTAAGATAAAATTATCAAACTCTGTTCACAATTGGCGAAAATATCCTGAAAAGAAAAACAAAGTCAAATTTCAGCCGCCTCCTTTTTCAAAAAGAAAGCAAGTGAGGATATTCTTGTATTAGTTAGATACAAAAATAAAAGATATCACGTTTATAAATTTTCCCATGCCTTTTCCTCCACATCTATAAACCGTAAACAGTCGACCCATGTATGTACATCGTAATACTACGGAGAATTTCATGTCCAGTGGAAAATGTACCTAAGCCTACCAAAGATTTTTTTAACATTATAATTGCAGTATTTAACATTTCAGCTTTACACTTTACATATTCATTATTAAATAAATATATATAAACAAAAAATTTAAATATTGAAACATAACATTGTTATTGTTTAATTTTTCGGTAGCTTTAAAATTTAAATCGAAGACAATCACTATATGTATGTATAACGATCCTTATGTAATGGATTATTTATTATGGTTTATTAACGATTTCAGACTGTTTTTAACATTATTTTATTTTGTCACTTAAAGAATATAAATGTTTTAATGCATTTTATATGCGTCTGTTATGGATATAGTAGGAAGATTCTATGTACATTTGCGGACAGACAGCTCTCAATTTACTATAATATTATGGTGTCAATTGAAGAAGCGTAATTGCAAATGTTGGAACCAACTGTTTGCTGTACTTATAGTCGTTCGTGTTGGCACTGATTGGTTCAATAAAGGAAGGCTACAACGAAAGAGAAAAAAGTAAATCTATTTAAAGTTAGTGACACACTAAAATCGGAATCAGAAATTACATTATCCGTCACAACCTCACATTCACAACAAAATAACATAATGAATCCTTTCAAGCATGCATGTGGACGATCAACAACAGAAAAAATTATATAAAACGGAAATATTATAATTCTACAATATTAATCCCGTACGCAGGTATTTGTGGTGTTGAAGATTGACGTGCTATTTAATAATGACTTTAAAACGATACGAAATTGACTTTAAAAATGGGTTACATAAACCATTACGCTTAGGTGTTTTAACTTTACAAAGCAATAGGTCTTTAGAATTTTCAAATTATGTTCATCTCTATAAACTTAAGATACAGTTTTTGAATGATTCCTTGTATAATAAGTCGCACGTTATAAAATACCATTGAACATAATATAATTTTGGCGCTTTCAACTAGGTAATGATAATGATCAGCTCCGCAAGGCAGCAATTATAAATCAATCTTACATTTTTTATAACTTAATATGTTTAAAACAGACGAGATAAGGTATTATAAAATATCAGCAAAAATATTGAAAACTTTTATAGTGATGTTAAAGTTATTTTAATAACCATTAAATATAACTTCCTCAATTAAATTACATTATTTTTTAGTCTTATTTTGGTTTGGACCACTTTAAAGTTATATATTATATACCTATACTGTCCAATTTTCTCTACGTTTTTCTGTCGTCGCTGTACCTAACTTTAGCCCTGCTGGAGCTCCTGTTTTCAGATGTCCCACGCAAAAGCGTTAATATTTTTGCCTATCTTTCTTTATGCATACTCTGGCTGTGTCCGGGAATCTCCATTTTACGCTAAGTGCTTGCTATAGTGCGTCTGTTACATTCGATTTGATACGTACGTTGACATTTATCTTGTCAAACAATCCTATTTTTAAATACTTCTCTATACTGCCACAATATATGGGCTATCTATTACGATGTGTTAAATATGGGTAGATTTATTCCTAGTTTGAATCCTTGTGCCCGAGAATGTGACGTTTAGGGGATTTCGTGTTCTATCTTTTTAATTAATGTAAAGAATAGACTTTTTTACACAACAGTACTCTGTAAGGTATGTAGCACTCGGTAATTGAATACTTTTAGCTAACGTCTGCGGATATCGCGGACGTTGACATGTGATTGGAGTCTGATCTAAAGGTAATGTTACGATGTAGAGATAAGTCAATTAGTGTTTCAGTCCAGTAATTATACATCTTGGCAATTGTACCTTAATCCATGAATAACGTTCATATTGGTTACGAAGTCTGTCCTAACCCTTTGATGATGATATCTAGATACCTTTATAAATAAAGTGCGCGTGGTGGTATTATAATACAATCGATCACCGCCTTTTGTCTTTTGGGCATTCGTAAGAATCAACAAACAAAAATGCCAAGAAGATTTAGTGACTCGCTAGCGTGGAGATTGGTACGCAAACCTAAACATAAAAGCTATCTGCAGTATATAGTTAGCTGTGATTTCTAGTGAAATGAAACGTAGCTGCTATAACAATTGAGTACTATAGAACTCTCTGTCACACTGATTGATATATTTGTAGTGGGAGTGAAGAGCCATCAATTGTATTCTAGGCGTGCAACGTATATTTATTAATTTAAGGTATTCAAGGTTTCTTTATTAATTAAATAAATATATATGAATTCATATTTAATTTAAAATCTTTACAAAGCCTTTGGCTGTTATAGCTATTCACTACAAATATATAATTTGTGTGACAGAAAATTCTATAGTACTCGATTGTTATAGAAGCCGCATCTCATTTTACTACGAATCACAGTTAACTATATACTAAACAGATACCACAAATACATTATTCAGTGTGTCATCGAATTCTATAATACCCAATTGCGACAGCAGCCGCATTCACCACAAATATATCATTCAGCGTGACAGCATTCTTAAAAATGGTAGAGCCACGCCGCAGCTATATTATGGTTGTAAGTTGAATGGGTCTCCTCGGCCAGGGTAGGACTACGCTCTCACAGAATAAAAACAAATAGCAGCTTAATGCTACTGTGTTTCGTATAGTGAGTGTAGAGAACCGGAGACCCTTTTTACTGGAAACGAGGCGTTCCATCTAAGTTCTTAAGAGTGCAAACGCATCTGCATTCATAATCGAGGATAAATGTAGATGTCTATGGGCCACGGCATTCACTTACCATCGGAAGGACTGTGTGCTCGTCCGTCACACTAATTCTATTAATAAAACAGGGAATGCTATAGCACTCTATTACTATACTACTGGGTCCTATTAAATACCTATGGTTTCAAATGCTTACACCCATAGAACGACACTCGAGGGCCCAGAGCTGTCTTTAGCATTTTTTCAAGTGATGTAGCATAAAAAAATCAATTTTATTATACTTATAGCATATTTTCTGCCATTTTTGATAAGTTAACAATTAGTATGTTTTATATTAAAAAAAATTATATTTGCTTTATAACACAAATTCTAGATAAACATTTTCCACCTCAGACGAATTAATACGTCTATGATTTCTACTTTTCACCACACTACCGATGCCGCACTGCATTATTGGCAGTCACAAGTGTCAGAATATCAAACTTGTTAGTTATCTCACGTTTACGTTGTTTTTATTTGTGGCTTCAGGATACAAGCAAGAACGTAGAGTAGAGTAATATATGTATTCATCGTTTAAATTTTTTTCAATTTTTGTTTATTTTGCTGTTCGTTGACAACTAATACATGTGTGACTGTTATTTCGGATTTGCAATAATACATCCAATAGTATAAGTGTGATAAACGAGCACAGAGTCCACCTGATGGTAAGTGGTTGCTGTGGCCCATAGACATATACATCTATCCTCGATTAAAAATCAGAACGCAAATGTGCTGCCACCCGTGAGCTTGAACGTCTTGTTTCCATTAAAATGGTTCTTTGGTTCTCTGTACTTACCACACGAAACATAAATAGAAGCGTTGAGCTGCATTTTAAGCTGGTTTTCCGTAATAGTGTGGCAGGACCATGACGTGTTTAGAAGATGAAAGATCTGTTTAAAACAGCATTTTTCAACTTCCAAACATGTCAACGATTTGGAACCGTTAAAAATTCAAACAAAAATTGAGTTTCCGTATATATAAAAATAAAAACTTGAACGAGCTAAAAGGTGAAAGTCTAATAGTTTTATTTACATGTACATACTTCAATTTTTTATGAATTGTTAATTTACGTCGCTATATATCAAAGCGTTATAATAATAATAAAATGGCGTAGGGAAGTGACGAGCCCATCGCCCGCTGACGTAACGGTTATGTGACAAAACTGCTACGTCAGCGATTACAAATTCGACATAATATGATAAACGGACATCAACATTTTTAAATTTATTTTGACTCGTGTATTTAATAATAGTAATAATAATTTCGCCGTGTAGTGGCGGTTGAGAAAATCCAATACCCCATATCTTCCCGTGGGTATCGTAAGAGGCGACAGAGGGAGGCAGGCAAGAGATGGGCAGCAGCATCTTCCTGATAAGATCCCCCCATGAGCAACGACACAATCGGCCCCCAGTCCCCGGCGGTCCCGCTATTCCTGGCTACGGCGACCATGGTAACGGCGGTGCAGGGGGTGCTAAGAATTTCCGGTGGAGGTTCGGTTGCCACCTCCGACAACTCGACCTGGCAATATATAACGCACGCAATCTGAGAACTGACGAGAAGATACTGGAGCTGGAAGAAGAGGTACACAAGTTGCGCTAACATATAATATGATTATCCGAGGTCCGAAGGGAGGGGGAAGACACGGTAATCCTCAAGTCCGGCAACTTGTTATATCATCGGGAGGGCGATCATCTCGCAGGCCCGAGAAGCTGACTGGGATTAGCCCGTTCGCAGAAAGAATTACAGGAATAATTTCAGACCACTCCACATGTCGGTTACTTCGTGAACCAAGTTCAGATATTTTGTTTGCTTATCTGTTTCGGCTTTCATGAGTCTCTCGGTTAATCAACACACTATTAGCCCTATTTATTGTAATGCTACGAATATAATAGATACGTCGGATTACAATTTTAAAACACAACTAATACGCTTAAAGCAACTAGCGATCTAATCAAAAAATACTCCGAGAAATTGAATCTAGACGTTAGTTCGATAATAACTGCGTGTGCCAAACCACCGAAGTTGTATGGGTTACCAAAAATATACAAACGCTCCATTACGTCCAATAGTGAGTCAGATCGATTCTCCAACTTACATATTGTCTCAACACCTAGCTAAAATATTATCACCACTATGACGACACACAAAAGCACTCACTAAGGTTTCATACCATTTTGTCAGTGAGTTAAAAGACCTACGTCTTACTGACAATGAAACCATGGTCAGTTTTGATGTTCAGTCTCTATTTACATGCCTATCTGTTGAAGACCGCATCTAATGATGTCTTATATTTACACGAACACCACACATTGATTAAATACACTTTTACGGATTTTATCGCGTTTAATTTTTAATTACCAGATAGACCTAAATCAGATATGATAGACCACAAATCCTCTTGAAGGAACATCAATTTCTATAATGGATGATACGTGAGACTATTGAAATAAAAAAATCCTAATTTCAATAGAGAAGGAGGTTTGGTACTACCACCTGCTTCATCATCATCATCATCATCCCAGCCCTTCACCAGTCCACTGCTGAACATATGCCTCCCCCAAGTAATGCCACAAAGCACGGTCCTGAGCCACCTGCATCCATCGACTTCCTGCATATATTACCAGGTCGTCACTCCATCTAGTGGGGGGTCGCCCTATACTACGCCTACCGGTACGAGGCTGCCACTCGAGAACCTTTCTTCCCCATCGGTTATCGGTTCTTCGAGCTATATGGCCGGCCCATTGCCACTTCAGCTTACTAATCCGTTGGGCTATGTCGGTCACTCTGGTTCTACTGCGGATATCCTCATTTCTGAGTCTATCACGCAGAGAAACTCCGAGCATAGCCCTCTCCATAGCTCGCTGAGCGACCTTGAGCGTCCTCATACGGCCAGCAGTGAAGGACCACGTCTCTGATCCGTAAGTTATCACTGGCAACACGCACTGGTTGTACACTTTAGTTTTCAGAGATTGAGGTATACCTGACGAGAAGATATGTCGTAATTTCCCGAACGCTGCCCAGCCGAGTTGAATCCGTCGATTGACCTCTCGGTCGAAGTTGGACTTACCTAGTCGGAATATTTGTCCCAGGTAAACGTACTCCTCAACAACTTCGAGCATAGTGCTCCCAACAACTACCGGCATAGGTGTGACATGGACATTAAACATAATCTTTGTTTTGTCCATGTTCATCTTAAGACCTATCCGTTGGGAGGCACTATTGAGGTCATTGAGCATAGTGCTTAAGTCCTCCAGCGATTCTGCCATAAGGACTATATCGTCGGCAAATCGAAGGTGAGTGATGTACTCGCCATTGATGTTAATACCGTATCCTTTCCAGTCCAGTAGCTTGAAAACGTCTTCCAAAGCAGCGGTGAAGAGTTTCGGGGATATAACGTCACCCTGTCTTACACCTCTCTGCAGTTGGATAGGTTTCGAGCTCTGGTTCTGTACTCGGATAGCCATCGTAGCCCTACTGTACAAACAACTTGGCACCGCTGAAGGGACTGCAGCACCGCCCAAATTTCGACGGAATCAAAGGCTTTCTCATAGTCCACATACGCCAGGCAAAGTGGCAAATTGTTCTCTTCAGTCTTCTGTACTATCTGCCGCAGGGTATGTATGTGGTCTATGGTACTGAAGCCTTTTCGGAAACCGGCTTGTTCGGGAGGCTGGAAGTCGTCGAGTCTGCGTGCGAGACGATTCGTAATGACTCTCGAAAACAGCACGTAGACGCGGCTCAGAAGGGAAATCGGTCTGTAGTTCTTCAAGAGAGCGTTGTCGCCTTTCTTAAAGAACAAGACCACCGCACTTCTGCTCCACGCCTCTGGAGTAGTGCCACCATGGAGAACGGAATTGAAGAGCTTCTGAAGGACTTCAAGTACCGGTGTTCCACCCGCTTTCAGAAGCTCCGCTGTAATTCCATCCTCGCCTGGGGCCCTGCCGTTTTTAAGGTGCTGGAGAGCCATTCTAATCTCGCTTAGACTGACGTCCGGGATATCATCGGAATAGAATAATCTATTCCGATGATATACCACCTGCTTGGGACCCTGTAATTAATGAAAATATTTTTTTTTAATATAATAGGGTGACAAACGAGCACACAGTCCACTGGATAGTAAGTGGTTGCTGCGGCCCATAGACATCTACATCTATCTTCCATTACAAATCAAAATGCAGATGCGTTGTCACCCGCGAGGACTGAGATGGAATGCCTCATTTCCAGTAACAAGGGTCTCCGGTTCTCTACACTCACCATACGAAATACAGCAGCATTAAGCTACTATTTCACGCTGGTATTCTGTGAGAGCGTGGTCCTTCCCCGGTCGAGCCGACCCATTCGTGCTACAACTATACTACTAATATAACTGCAGCATGGCTCTACCACATAAAAAATAAAACTAAACCCAAGCATACAACTGGAAGACATCAAGACACAATAAATTAATACTGTAAACTTTATTTTAATTTGTTATATTATGTTAGAGTAAAGTTATATTATGTTTCGCTTCATAAGTTTTCATATGAGTGTTCCTGTATAGTGATTTATTTGTATTACGTTTTGAGGTATTCCAACCCCTTCGAGTCAGACGCTGAAGTACAGTCGACTTCGCAAAAGAAGAAAGCGGTTAAGAAACTAGCTAATGTATTAAGGACTAAAACAAAAGTTCCTAAGTCCAAGAAACGAGTTGAATTATTCGGAAGCGAGTCGGAATCTGAGGCTGATACATCACTCACCCCGGCTTCGACCAGCAGGAAACGTAAATTAAACCTTTTTCCAAATTCTGAGGTAAACAAATCTTATTTCATTTTAATAGTTTGAGTTACCATTTGCATGATGAAAAGTTAGTTTCTATTTGATTGGATGTTATGAAGAAATTATCAGTCATAGGTTAATTTTATAGGATCAGACCATAAACAAAAATTAAAAATCTGAAGGTTAACACTGACATAGGGACATCAGTAACCTCAGTCCCCCGTGACCATGAGTGCTGGAAAGCACCCGAAACGTCGGGAATTAAAAATAAAAATAATTAAAAGTAAAATTAAACGCGATAAAACCCGTAAAAATGGTTTTAATCAAGACTGCATCTAAATTATAACTAGGAAACTAGAGGAAAATAACATGTCAGCAGAATATGCAGTACTACTCAGAGATTGCCTTGCATATAACTATCTATTGTGGAAGGAAGAGTTTTACA